AACAGGTTACAAAGCTGCCCAAAAGGAGAGGAATTTATCTGTGCAAATTCAGTTGTCAACAATACAGATGCCCACCTCTAATCTAGTCAGCAAAATTCCCTTTCTAATCAACAGAGAAAAACCAGCACTTATAGAAAATGCCTAATTTCACATTAAGGCAGAAAAGTAGGTTAAAACCACAGAATAATGGAATAGTTTAGGTTGGAAAAGCCCTTTAAGATTATCAAGTCCAGCCACTAACCCAACACTGCCAAGGCCACCAGTGAACCATGTCCCTAAGTGCCACATTGATTTTTCCTAATATCTAATCTACACCTCCCCAAGTGCAACTTGAGGCCACACCCTCTGTGCTGCAAAGCTCTGGATTTGGACAAAATGAATCCTAGTTGAGAACACCAATACAGAATGGAAAACATGTCCCTAAGCTACAGAGCAGAACACCAGACAAATATAAAGCACCTGGGTATGCCCAGCCCTCCTCACAGTGTGGGGTTCAGAGCTGCACTGCCAGTACAGTGAAGAGAAGCAAGTGGTTCTCCATAACATCAACAGACTCCAGGTTTCTGTGGGCTTTGTCAGGCCAGAAGAAACCAAATGAAATGCTCTTGCTCAAGCAAGAGTGCCCATGACTTCCAGTCAAACAGCAGCACCTTTCAGACAAGTGCTGCATCTCTACCTAAAGATTTCCAGCAACTGGGAACCTTCTGCTGCCACCATTAAGCTCATCTAGCAGGTAATTACTCTTCTAACCTCTTCTGCAACATCCCCATTCCCTGAAAAAAACATGAGGATCTCTGCTGCTCTGTGAAAAGGGGACCAGCTGCATCTAAAGAGTATGAGTGGAGTGGCACACACAAGGTAAGAGGACAGAAAACTCTATCAGCAGGAGACTCCCAGACTGTAGTATGAGAACCTCTCATCACTGATGATGAGGGTAATTAAAAGGTGTGAAGGAGCAGGAGCATTCACTCACTGTGCTTCCTCAGCAGCCACCACTTTGGTGTAGAAGTCACTGGAGTACAGCACCACATTGGCCACCTGCTCCACTGAGGGAGAAAGAAGAAAGCAGACACTCAGGGGTGTGCATGCACCACAAACAACACAGGTGCCCCCACCCCAAGTCCCAGGAATAGCAAACATGGTGAAGAAAGCAGAAAACCCCATCCATTTAGAGCCTGAAGGGACCATCAGGACAGAAAGCCTGACCTGGACAGTGACCAAGATCAAGACAGATCAGTCTGTCTTCCCTGAAAGGCACCTGGCCTTGATTTGGAGACAACAGAAGGAGCCTCAGCCATTTTGATCTCTCCCTGCCTTCTTTTCTCTTTCCCATCCTTTGTCTCTCAGACTGTGTTCCCCAGCTCTGCAGCTTGTGGGATGAAAACATGCAGTGTCACATATAAAACACTGGCACAGCAATGAAGCTCAGCCCCTGCCCTCAGCTTCCTCAGGAGGAACAACACTGTTGCTGGCAGAGTTTCTCACACTGCCAGAGGTTTCTAGAACACCAGACAAAGCTGTGTGTTATCTAGGCACATTCACAGTTAGCAGGAGCATCACACTGACAGGAGCCCTTCCCAATGACCTCCCAATAAGGGTGCCTTTCCCCCACTTTTCCCACACCTGCACTGCCCACTGCAGGAGCCAGATCCCTTCTCTTTTTCTATGGGGGAAAATCTGGTGCCTGAAATTAGGACATACAAGTAACCACAGGAATCAGGAGAAAAGCTACAGCACATCACTTGACAAATAGAAAAGAAACAGCAACAACAGGGGGGAGGGACAAATTCCTGATATCACCAGCTGCCTTCTTAAACTGTTACATGCACTAAATTCTGTCTCTCTTTCAGACCTATTGCACTCAAAGAATCCCAAGCAACAGTAAAAACATACCCTGGACTTTGATCTTCTTCACAGTTTTGTCTGTGTTGTTGTTGATGGTGACAGTGACTGGAATGGGCTCACCATGGTAGTATACCTAGAAGGAATGTGATGCTCAGAAATCCAGCCAGGAGACTTCTTCTGAGCCTTAACCCCTCTAGTTCCCCCAGATCACACCTCACAGTGGCCAGACAGGGGAAATGACCCCTCCCAGCGATTCATGACCCCTCCTTCAATGACTTCAAATGTGTTTGGCAGGGCTTCAACCACCCCTAGCAGTAGGCACTGACAGAAATGACATTTGAGCCCTTGAGTGCTGGGACAAGTCAGTCTCAGCTGAGAAAGCAGCAAATGCCCATTGGCCTGCAGGTACCACGATGCCCCCAGCCCCAGGGCAAACCCCCCTCACCTCTTTACTGAGGCAGGCTTTCATGTGCAGGGGCTTGTTGGACATGAAGAACTGCCAGGTGGTCTCGGCACAAGGCTGGGGTCCTGGGCTCTCCGGTGCATACTGCACCTTACGGATCAGCAGACGTGCAGTGTTCCTGGGAAGTAGCAGAGGACACCACGGTGACACCCAGTGCTTGGAATAGGCAGGAGCTCTGCATTCCCATGTGCTCACACCCAGGAAGTCACTGACAAGGGGGCAAAGCTGAACAAACAACCCAGGTGCATCACTGGACCACCCATCCCCTTAAGGCAAAGCTGAAGAGAGACACATCCTGTTACCTTCTATGAATTCTCTCTTCCACATTTTCTGTTGAGAAAGCTTTCACCTCAAAGTCCACCCCACAAGTCTGCCAGACAGAGAAAGGACAGTGAAATCAGGATCAGAAGACAGGAACATCTGCAGATGTTTCAGTATCTTTCTGCACACCACAAACTGGCAGACTCCTGCCAGCTGCAAATTATTCTGGCCTCCCACCACTGTCACAGACATCCCTGACCACTGGTGTTGGCACATTCACCTGTTCTACAGTGCTTCTGATAAATGAGACCTAATCCCAGCCTCTGAGAGATGCCATCCCTTCTCTTGAAAGGCTTCCTGTGAGACCAGTGCTGGAAAGGTCACATCATAAGACTGCCCAGTGTGCTGCACTGCCTGGCCCACCCTAGGTTTCTGAACTGAATTTCTGAGTTGGCTTTGTAATGCCAAAACCAGCATCTAAGGAGTGGAAGTGATCGTGCCAAGCTAACCTTTGCTTTATCAGGTTGATAGCATCATGGGGCACCTGTGTGAGTCCCAGCTAATTCTCTACAGACATTTTTGCTAGAATATAATTCCATGGCTTAAAACACAGGTTATCTTTTTTGCACTAGGTTCTACAACCCTCATCCCACTTTGCCTGGCTGATTACCCAGTTCTGCTGTCCAGACAAGCATCTAGTCAAGTATAAAAGGAATATTTTTAACAGTATCAGAAACCTTGCAGAACATATAATTATTTAGTGACTTTTACCACAGGGTTTTTGTTCTGTTTACTCATACGTACAAGCCAGCTCTTCTCTGCATTTAATTCAGGGCAGGTCTCAACACATGTTATTTATAGCAATCTGTGAGATTTTAGGCACTTGGTCTCCTTTTCTTTCATGTAGCCTCACAGCCACAATCATTTTATGTGCAGCCAAACCACAAATCATGTGATAGTCTTAAAGAAGCTACAACACTGCAGATTTTGTAGTCTTGCTGCTATTTGTCTGGATTCCCTTTCTTAGTCGGAGAATTTCAACTCCAATTTGTGACACATACTTGTAGCCCTTAGTTCCTGACATTTGTAGAATCAGTATCACCTTCTCCTACTCTCAAGCTAAACAAATTCCCAAGGTTTTTTTTCCCATCTGACTTTCCTTAACCCCTATAAGCACAAATGTCCCACTGGACTCACCTTATCAACATCACGAGGTGCAGGCTGCAGACAGACTGAGCAAGGCAGGTAATCTGGAAACTGTGGGAGGAAGAAGAGGAAATGCCCCAAACGAATAGTACACAGATGTTTTAGGCAACATAGTGCTCACAAAAGCAGTCCTGAAGACAAGGGATCATTCGTTGTAATACTGTAACCCTTTGGAATTCTGGCTAGTATACTTGCCTTGTATGAACAAATCCCTTTCTTCCAAAAATACTTTAAAAGTCAAGAAAGAAAAAAAAAGTCTATGCACAATATGAATCTTCCTCAGGAACATGAAGACAGACATATGAGTGACAGTACTGGAAGGATTTCCTGTTAGAATTAGGCAGTCAGCTGTCATTTGTCATCAGCTGTCAAAGACCCTTTCATCTCCTTATTTGATCCAAAATTTTTAAAGGAAAAGGATTTGGCACTGGGGCAATGGTAAAAAATATTCCAGCTCCTCAGGAACAGGAAGGCAAGAATATATGGGCTGTTGCTAGCATAAAGCCATTGCAAATTCCCTTGCCTTTTTTAAGAAAGCACTTCTCACAGTGGTGTGATCACTGCTCAGTTAGATCTTCTTGCACTTTACCTCTCAGGATTGCAAGAAGTAAGAAAAACATTGGTAAGACCATCTGTCACTCAAAATTGGAACTTGCAGAACATGAATTCACTATAAATTCCCATCTTCAGTTCATCACCAGGCCTCAGCAGCCTGGTAACTACAAACAAGAAGAGAATCAGAGGCTCTTCTGAAACACTTACTGTAAAGAAAAAGGGATAAGCATTTTTGCCCAGCTTCTTTAGCAGAGATTCCTGCAAGAGGGTGAGAGACTCTGGCTTGTCAGCAGGCGGGTACACCTGGACCCTGGAGAAGAAGAGGTCGCGGCGGAAGGCGAGGCCGATCACGTCGATGTCCTCCTGGCCGTAGCGGAACACGCACGTCAGCGACACAAACACTGGCAAGAAGCACAGCACAGGTGAAACAGGCAGCAGGAAAATGGTGGAGCCAGGCTGAGATGGGGACATCTTCTGCCTCAGGGAGACATGGGAACTCATTTCAACACTTGCATAACCCAGTGAGGACTCATCCCACGTGTAACAACAGACAACATTGATAAGAAGCCCATTCACTGAGGCAGAGAGTTATGTTTGTACCCTCCAAACGTTCTGCCTTAGCATCTCACTCAGAAAAACAAACATTGCATAAAACCTCATACCTTTTTTCCCCTTGATAATAGCAGGATCCACCAATACAACACCATCTGAAAGAAAGGGAAAAATGAAGATTAACATAGATAAAAGCAGGGTTGAGAGCAGGAAGAGCAGCACATAACCTCATGGACTTACCTACAGGTTCTACATTCCCTATGTTGTCAATGTAGTCCCGCTTTCCCAGGTAGATGGTCAGCTGTGGGGACAGGATGACCACAGTTGGACTATAAAATGTTTGTGGTTGTTGAGGGAAGGGGGACACACATCAGAGATCTATAAATTTTGCAGAGATCAGAACAATTCCATTTTAAGTGGATTTTTTTTTCCAGCAAACATGCCACCCCCACTAGAATCAACAGGATTATTCACATGTAGGACATCAGAACTGAAGACCTGATCTAGACCAACTCCCAAAGGTACAACACAAATACTTGTGCATGGGACAAAGAAGTGTAGATTTAAAGATTTTTGGTGCTGTCGGGTTGGAAAGACAATGAATCAGGTTTTATTTAAACATTTACCAGTAGAAGTACAACCCAGGAGGAGAGTGAGGTGAGCTGCCTTGTCTTGTATTATAACACACGAAAAGTTTACCCTAAAAACTGTTTACATCAGCTCCTCAAACTTAAGTGGTAATATGGGTCATGTTCCTTCTTCAGAAGAAAATAAAGGGGACAGGAAGGAGCTTTCTAATCAGTCTTCAGTGTGACTACAGGTAAAAGTCAAGCCTAAATAAGCCCATTATTACTGTACTCACAGCTTTGTCACGGGTGCTTTTTCTGAAGATAACTTGTTTTGGAGGAGAATCAGCATTCTTCCCACCAGTCCCAGTCTTTTGAGACTCAGGGCGGCTCATGGTCAAAGACAGGGATGTGACTGTGGGTGAATGAAGCTCTTCTGTCCCCAGATGTCCTGTGCCAGATGCCTGGGAAAAACAGGTGGATGAGATAAAAGCAGTAGGTAAAGCACTGAACTCCTGGTGCTGTTTCAGTGCTTTTTCACATCCAAATGGTGGCTCTGTCTAAAAGCTACCAAGGTGGTTTGTGTTGATAAGGAGTCAGGCCAATTCCCAAATAAGAACTCATTTGTGCTGTTGCATTTTTCTCAACCAGAACCCAGTGCAGCCCATTATGGGCAGAGCAGCACTGAGCTCAAACCAGAATGCACCATATGGATAGAACAGTCCAGCCACCTGCCCAGAAAGGCAACAATTACACTTAGAGGTAGAGAACAGCTTGCACCTGAGGGATAGAAAACATATGGAATAAAAAATATGGAATAAAAAATATGGAATAAAAATTCTTCAGGAGGAGAAAAATAAGCAGGGAAAGAAAAGCGGTGGGAGGGGGGGGGAAGAGAATGGGGGGGAAAATAAGAGAAGCAGTGGAAAAAAGGGGGAAGAAGAGAAAGTGCACAAGGGCACAAGAGATATCCAGAGAGAGAAGTGCAGAAAACCTAATTGGTACAAAGCAGAGAGAGATTAACTTTTCATTCTGTTTAAAGTCACAAAATAGCATCCAGTTAATGATCAGACAGCAAATTTAAAATAAGGTGAAGCATTTCCCCAGTTAACAGAAGATTCAAGGTGGCTCTGGTAATCACCAATATGAATTGAATCACAGGATTACACACATTCACAGGGAAAAAGGCTTTTGGCAGCTGTTGGACGAGGATCCAGGAGCAACCTTAACCCTGCAAGATTCTGAAGCAAAGGAGCAGCATCAGGAAAGGATGATGCCACACAGGCACCATCCTGTCCTTACACTCCTCACCATCAGAGCTGTGTGAATGAGAGCACTGCTAGATAGACCCCAGCTCTGATGAGTATGACTGTCCTTGCAGTTTGCTCCAATTCTATTTCTCAGCTTGCTTTCCCATTTCAAAACTGCTTCAGGAGTAAAACAGTTTCTAGGACCTATTTGCAGATAGCAAACCATAGAAAAAGTAAATACTTGGCTTCTTGGAAAGCTGAAAAAAATGTAAGGCAGACATTAGAAACAGACCATACACATGTAAGCATTTCTATTTTCATTAAGTAGGGTTTTCAAGCCCAGATCAGTATTTGTTGCTGACTAGACATGCTGTAGACTCAAACACAACAGCAAATAACATCAAGTACCTTGCTGTGTTCAAAGTGGCACAGGAGCTTCCACAGACAGTGATGGGAACTTCTAAATTATCAAAGAAAGATGAATTTTCCAAGGCAGCTGTGTCCTATGCTTCTTTGCATCTAGCAGAGGGAATTACTGCTCTCTTCACAAGCAAGGAAGACAATTTGTAGGGGATTGGAAAGCTCGTCTCCAGTTGCGTCCATCCAGGATTTCAATAATTAATCCCTCTGCAAGAGCAAATATTGTACCTGGGCTGAGATTCAGCTGGGAAGTGGTTAAGTCAGCAACAACAAGGCATTAGCTAAGGACACTCAGCTAGTCAGTGAAGAGGTGTACAATGTCCTGTTCACATTTTGCAAAGACACAGGAAGCACAGGCCAGCTACTGAAAGCAGTTTATTCTAAAGCTCTATCTCCTCCTTCCTAGGGCTGCAAGACATGCAGCCTGGTAAGAAACTGAACAGACAAGAGCCATTGATGAAAAAGGGAGTTTAAAAAACACTAAAATGGCATTTTGATGGCCTGTCAAACACTGAGAACAATGCACTATTCTCAGAATCACTAAGCAATTTATCTATTACTGCTTCACCAGCAGCCAACTGACATGCTGATGCAAAACAATAGACTGCTAGTTTGTACAATCTCCTCCTCAATTTACTTAAAAAAACACAACATCTGGGATTTAAGAAACACAGATATTTCAATTAACTTCAGCTGTGCTGCTCCTTAATCTTCCAAGAGTAGCTTTCCCCACCCATCAGTGAATTTGGGCCTGGTATTTTGCACAACAGTATATGTTAACTTTTGGCTTGTGAGCTGTAGGAACAGCTGTAGCTTTCCTCTGGCTGCATCTGTTCATTTGATTAACAGAGATCACATGATATCCTGTCCACTTGCCAGCCTAACAGCTCCCTCCAGCTCAAGCAAGCTTGCAGTCACAGATCAAGCTTGCTTTTTACAAACAATCACTGACATTTGCCTGAATATAGTGGCCAGGGCTACACAAATTACTCAAATGACAGAGCCAATGTTCCTCAGCTCTTTCAGGGTTCCAACAACATTTTATTAACTGGAGGTGGATTATTTGGAGAGCCTAATCACTACTCTGTCTAATCAACTCTGGCAAACACAAACCAGCCAGGCTGGAACCACAGAAATTCACACATGCCTGGGCTGCAGAAGAGAAGCCAGGTCCTTATTGTAGGAAGAAAGGAAGAAACCTCAGAGATGAAACTCAGTCACACTTTGCAAAAGCAAAAGGAAGGGAGCTGGTTTTGTACAAGTCTGTGCTGCAGCCACTGCAGGGTTATTAGTTCTCCAGGAGAGGATGAGCATTCCTGTTGGCACATGTACCATTGCAGACATCTTCAGAGGATCTTGGGAACAGCTTCTCTGTAACACAGCTCCTAGTGCACCTTTAATCCAGAGAAAGATGCCCAACCCACCCCCAAATCCACTTGAAGGGCAGCTCCACCTCTGGCAGCAAAACTGCTACAGCCACCTCTGCACTGCAGGTTCCTTCATTTGCTCTTCTTCTCTCTGCAGGCTGGAGCAGAAAAGGAGGCAATAGAAGTAATCAAAATATAGGAAAAGAAAAGCTAAAATTGCTCACTAGAATGTCTTACATACCTTGGTGCTAAGGAACCCTAATCTAAAATGCTTAAGGATTTAGCCAGCTGGCTTCTATCCTTCAGCATTATTAACCTGCTTCATAACAGCATCAATGGGACTAGCAAAGCCCTTTGAGTAAGATGTGTCCATGCTCTAGAAAAACACAAGTGCAGCAGTCTAAATTCTAAACATCCTAAACCCATTCTGATCCTCCTCAGCAGAGCCTGCAGTTTTTATTATGCTAATCTCCCAATAATCTTTCATCATGCTGACTTGCCACTTCGTGATCTGCTTTCCTGCAGTAACCAAGGTCACCTGGACTCGTGGCAGGTGCCTTTTCAAGGACCATATGCCACTGCAACAGGCAAAGAAAAAATACCTTGCCCTTAGAAACTGTTCAGAATGCCAGCTTTCCATTTTTGCTGCAGTTCTTACATCCATGAGCTGAATAAAAGCTTATTTTCTGATGAGAAACAGAGGGTGGCCAGTGACAGCTAGTGGTTATGAAATTTTTACACTGAAGAGCTGAAGACTTTACTTCATCACTCTGAAGCTGGAACCAGAGCAACATCTTCAAAAGGGTTTTTGTGTTTTTAAAGAAATGTGCAACTCCAATTCCTGCCTTAAAAACTTGACAAGCTAGCCGTCAAAGCCTCACAGCAGAAAAAGACATCTATTTTTAGCAGTGTTTGAAATACAGATCCTGATTTCCTCAGTTCAGTAGTTTATCTCAAACATCCAACAATACATCAACCTTTCAAGGACAGAGACAGAGGCACTTGTTCAATGAGGCAAGACTTTCTTCAGTCTCAAGGCAGGACTACTGAGACAGTGCAAGCCCAGGCTGCACCTGCAGGACATCTAGCCCCAAGCTAAGATCATTATCCTTTTTCCCCCTTGACACCAAATTCCACAACTCACCAGGAAAATGGCATTTCAGATCCCCCTCTGCACTTATTCCAAACAAGATCTCGCACACAGATGCACAAATAAATAAATCAGAGCAGTGTGGGGTTTTAAAAGCAGAACACAAGTTTATTTACAATCAAGTTTTTATGGGCAGCTGAATAAATAAAAACTTTGCCCCATGTACTCTAATTCCCCTCTGCAGAAAGTGTCTGTGCGAAAGGCTGGGTTAGAGGGAGCCTGTCAGCCCAGCTCCCCCAACCCAGCCCCTCCAAAGAACACACTTCCATGGTAAAACACTATCGGGAAAGAAGAAAATAAAGTGCAAATAAAAAGGCAATAAAACGCTGGTGGCTTGTCTTGAGGCCCAGATGATGTGGAAAGGTTTGGCTGGATAAGGATATGCCAGGTAGCTCACACTCAGACACATCATGGTTCAGGGTGCCAGAACAGGAACAGAGCTCAGACACCGCTCCGTACCACAGAGGGCTCCAGCGCAAACGGGAATATTGCACGTGTGCTCAGGAACGGGGCAAGTGGCCTGGAATTGCCAGCACCAAAACAATGCATTTGGGATTTGATGCCACTGCTCCCCTGGGTACTGACAGCCGCCAGGACAGGACGGATGAACAGAAAAAGGAACCAAACGTCTGTATTCCAGGACTGAAGTCACAGGATTACTACATTCCTCATCACTGCAGCACAACTCCTAGGACAACCTCACCAAGCTTAGCTCTCTCCTCACACCAACTAATCAAACTGCCTGTGGTATAAAAAGATTAAAAAACCTCCTATTTTGTGATGCCCAAGCTGTTGAAGGGCATTTCAGCACAAGGGTGCAGAAGTCCCGAAGAACAAACAAACCGTTGCCTCAAGAACCGATACACAGAGTTCACAGGATAGTGCTGGAGAGCCTGTGCCAGGATCAGAACAGATCTAAAATGAGCTGATGACTCAAAGGCAGAGCTGTCAGAGCCATGGGAGACCCTCTTTAAAAGCTGTTCCAACACTTCAAACTGCCTAGGACGTGTTTCAGGATCTTCTCACCCCATGCCTGAACTAGGCCACCAGAACAGAACACAGGAGACAGAACATGCTTTAAGTCAGCACACACAATGACTTCTTTCCAAAGTTTCCACCTCAGAAGTGCTGTAGATACATTTGTGTGACAGGATATTTGGCACAGCTGTCTGGTGAGGAATCCCGCTAGTATCTTCAGCTCCACGTGGTGCATAGATACTGCAAGTAAAGGCATGACTAAGTAGCATTCTCCATCTACAACAGCTAATCCCACTCTGAGTCCAAGTGCCACAGTGCAGTTTTGGCCATGAGAAGTCTCTGACTCAGGCTCCTTTCTCCATTGCTTTAGAACTTCCCTCTGGAAAGCAAAGCCCATGTGCTTGTCCATATCCTGACTCTGGATGGATGTGGGCTCGGGTCTCCATGCTGTGCAGGCACGGAGCAGCACCAGCACACTCAGCCTCTCACCCTCCGGCAGTCAGAACTCAGCCCACAGCACAGCCTTGTTTCCTTTGTCCACACTGACCACGTGGGCACCCGATGGTGACCACGTGACTGCATTGATAGAAGAACTGAAAAGGAAGGCAAGAGTCAGTTTAAAAAAAGCTGAATTCCACAACAGCACTTGGCACTGGAATGAAATACTGTAATACTCTTATTGCCAATTAAAAAACCCACTTTCTCACATCTCAAGAGATTGGGCTTTTAATAAGTCTGAGGGAGGTACAATTTCTTCAAAACATTTGGAATGCACTTTACTAGAATCACATATCAGTTTAACAAGATAACAACACATCTAATTCAATCTAGAAAATACTGCCATGAATCCACAAAGACTTTGCATATTAATTATTCTCACATGCCAATAAAAGTTGTAAAGCTGTACAACTCCAACTTCTTGCTAGCTCAGCAAGATCCACAACCCAGATCCCCAGCCTAGGCTGCATGTCCCACTTCCCTCACCTGTGATGCTTTGCAAGCGTCCTCTCCAATTTCCCAGTAAGCACATTCCAGATGTAGAGGGCCCCATCAGCTGAGCCAGCAGCCACATAGTTACCATCAGGGCTGTCACATCAGACCAGGTGCAACAGGCAAAGAACAATTTGCAAGTCAGCAATTTTCAGCTCACATCATCATTCCACCCACAACTTCCTAAGCAAGCAACTTGGCATTAAATAGTCTTTTAGTGTTATCACCTGCTAATACTAAGAGGTGAAAGCACTTTGAAATCAGAGCAATTCCAAGAAATTGGATCAGTATTTACAGATACACTCTGGCTTGACCAAGAGGTAACCTGGGACAAATTACAAACTCTGCTCCGTTTTTCTAGCTATAACTGGGGACCACTGCAGTCAAGCACCAGGAATCACTCAGTTTAGCAGGGGAAAGGTTTATCAGGTATCTTGTTTATGTCTGACCTTACCTGAACACAACTCTTGTCCAGTCAGAGCCACATTTGAATCCCTGGGCACTGGAAAGTTAGAATCACATCACTGTTAACTCATTGACGAGAAGAGATACTAAAGACAATGTTAAGGATTTCTGTACGGTTTAGAATAAATGCCAGCATCCCTTTATCCCAATTCATGTTTCTCATACACCTTTCTCTCAATGGCACCTGAAGAAATTCTTTCCTTTAGAACACAGACTTCTAAGCCTAGCTGCCTTCTTTAAAGAGAAACATGAGAAGATCCATTAGAGCAGATCTTTGCTGTTTCTAGACATTCTAGAGAACTTTGCCATATAGAAAAGCAAAGTGAGGAGACTGCTGTCCCACAGAGGTCCTGGAAACCACTCCAGCACTAAGGATAACCCACAATACAAGGTCTTGAAATTCACAGTGCTCCTGTGAGGAATGCACTCACCTGAAGGTCTGCTTGACAGCACTGACCCGCAGATCAATGATCTTGAGCAGATCATCACGGGAACAGGTCAGAAGCTCTGTTCGCTCCGGGTTCAGGTCCAGAGCTGTGATTCTTCCAAACAGCTCCAGTTCTTTTACTATGCTTTCAGTCCTAAAGACAGAAAGGGGAAAGAAAAAGAAAAAAGACAGCTGTGAACTAGGGTCCAGAAGCCAAACCAGCGCATCAAAACTTTGACTTGTCCCAGTGTGGAAGAGATGAAAAAGGATTACTGGTTTATTCTTACATTTTGTTTCTTTCCCAAGCTAGATCCCACCTTGGGGACAGCATTTCCAGCAAACAGTTAAGACACTACTTTCCTCACAACCCCACCCTAGAACAGCAAGTACTGAACAATGAAAAATACTTCCCAGCAAGTATGCTGTCTTTCCAGAAAAGAAATGGCATCCCCAAAAAAAAAACAAAAAAAAAAAACCCCAACAAAAGGCCCACAAATCTATAATATAGCCTAAAAAGAGTAACAAAAGTCTCTTTAATAGCTTTTTGTTGCTTTTGTAGCAGTCTCCCCAGCTAGCAAGTTCAGGAAAAAGAGTTCCCTGCTTCAGATTAACCTGACAGTAAACCCATAACCACTAATACACCATAACCTCTGCTACAATAGTTTTACCTGATATCCCAGAAACGAATTTTCTTATCAAAATGTCCACTCATTACACACTGCTCAGTACACACGATGTCATTGCAGCTAGATCCTGCAAACACTGTTTTTATACCTAAAAAGGAGAAACCAATGGTGACATGCTTAAATTCACATTGTCCAAACTGATGAAAACTGAGACAGAAAATAATCCCCAAACCCTTCCCCCACCATACAGTGGCAACACAGAGCAGTGCCCAAGGAGTGGCACAGGACAAACAGTCTTAAAATAATCCTGATTAAGTCTTCAACCTCTCTGCCCTTTCTCAATCTCCTTTGCCAGGACTTGAAAGGTTCCCATGACAGCTGCTTTACTTCCACTTCATATTTAGCCAGCTATAATTTGCTACTATTAAACAACATGAATCTGTCTCCTTGACCTATGTTTGCAATTCAGGTATCAAGGTAACTTTGACTCTCAAATGCTCTCTCAGTACAAGCAGGTTTAAGAGCCCCCAGTAGGAGAAAAAAACAAGGAAAGAAGGTGTTGCTCCCAAAGAAAAACCCGGATCCTAGCAACTCCTTCATTTGAGATGCTGAAATTTTTGGTATGTTTCCAAGAGACACTTCCATCCACCTCAGAGTTAAAAACCTGGCCTGGCTCCAAGTTTTTAGTGGAAGACTAAAATACCCATTCCCAGACTGGTAAACAAAGACCACTCCCAAAACCAGCTGCTCTCAGTGGAATGGCATTAACAGTGCTTCCTGCACACACAGGATTTCTTATTCCAGTTAACAGGCAGAAAGAATTCACTTACTTAAAGAATAACACAAAATGGGATGACTCCTAGCTTTTTCTATTTTTATACTGGCAAAAAGATTCAATAATTGATCTGACACCAGCCTGCCAGGAGCATTCAGCAGAAGCACAAAACCTGAATGAAAGGATGAAAGATGGAATTTAAGCTTCCTTACAAACTTTGCTGCGGAGGTCCCAGAGCTTGAGGGTCCGGTCGTGACTTCCCGAAACAATCCGTGCATTGTCCAGCAGGAACTTGGCTGACAGAACTTTACCACTGTGACCTGTAAGGGTGTGCTGGGGACACAAGATTGACACGGTCAAACTGAGGATTTCCACTTTCTCAAATTGTAATTTGCATGTCTCCTGCTTTGCTTGGCAGAAAAAACATCTATTGCAGGTAAACAGAGATCACTATTGAGTAGGAGTGTTAATTATCAGAGTCCAGCCTGGAGCTGGGAAACACAGGTCACCTTTTGCTGCAGTTTCTCCAGTTACTCAGGAACCTGCCAGCTCCTTCCTCAACACTCTGTACACCTACATTTCCTGGACAGATGGCAATTGCAACACAGCCTTGCAGGACAATCCAGGGGTTAAAGCATGCTGAAAATGGAAATTGTGCCTTTCTGCTTTCATATGGAGCTTCCCTCGAGAACACAAGAGGGTATCAAGTCTCAATTGTTATTACATCTTAAAGCCTGAAAGCTGAGACAACCAGGGATTTCAGAAAAACTCCCTACAGCAGCTTCTTTAAGTGCAGAAGGAGGCTCTCACATGAACCACATTCACTTAGAATTGCTCAACATTTACATACTAAATCACCAAAAAGCAATGAATTACTAAAGTAAGAGTGATGAAAAACAAGACAAATCTTTGTAGATAGTTAAGATTTTTTAAAAAAATACTCAACAGGATATCAAATTACACAAGGCAATCTGGGCTTGGGGAAACACAAAATAAAAGCCCTTAAGAATGGAAAGAAATTGGAGCTAAGTTTGGGAAAAAAACCCCAAAACATCATCCCAAAAAGACCACCTTGTCTTGAGAAAGGAACACAAACTCCAGCAAGGAGGATCTATCTTCCACTCTGCATCTCCCTTCTGCCCTTGCTGCACAGACATCACAAGCAGCTGTTATGTTTAGGCAGGGAGTTTTGGCACAGTTTAGTGATTTCAGCTTTAGAACATCCTGCTTATGTGCAAACCATGGAGAGTCCACAGTGCTCACACTTGAAACAGAGAGGACTATTTCATTTTGGAAACAATGAGTGCACTCCAAAGAATTACAGGAAGATTATGTGAATGCCTGCAGGTGTAACTAACCTTTTGCAGTGAGTAATCTGTCTGCTAAACTTGTATTCACTATAATCCACATCCAATAGTAGGTTTTGCAGCCAAGGAGAAGGTGCAAAAGAACTGATACTCTTCACTTTCCTGAGACTTGACATGCCCACACTGAGAACTACCCAATGAATTACAGGGCATCTGCTGGTTATAACCAACACTGAAATGTCAGAAGATCTGAACATCACAGTAGTACCTTACTAAAATAAGAAGTTGAGGTAAAGTGTACCTAGGAAATGACAATTTAAAAAGGCTCTTGGAAAGCTGTGAAACTTTTCTTCTGGTCTCTCAAAGGATTATTTTCAAATCAGAGCCAACTGTTAGAGAAGAATACAAGTACAAAGTACTTGGGAGGAAAGGAGGAACCTTTCAAAAGACACTGAGGATGATGTGCAGTATGTTGAGGCTTGCTGCCTTGGTCAGCCAGGCAGAGGGCTCCTTTTCAAGAATGCTGCTCCCGACTTAAAACAAAAGTCCCTCTTTATCTTCTGCAAAGCCCTTTTCATCAGCCTGTCCTTTGAGAGAGGCTGAAACATTGAGGTGGCTCTCCATAAATCATAAGAAGCATTTAAAGTTCCCCAGAGGGGTACAAAAAAGTGTGCACACACTTTATGTGGCAAGGTTTTTCTAGTGGGGGGTTGTGTTGGGAAAATACACAGTAACTGGAGCTTCCTGCAAGGCTGTGTGGAGATCAACACAGTATTTTAGGTCTTGCTGTGAAGACCTTCAAGAGATAAAGAACCTCTCAACAAAAGGAACTATTAAAAGTGTCTGTAAATGCCCAACTTCCAAAACTGCCATGTACCCACTAAACAAAACAGAGAATACAAGACAGAAAAAACTCCTTTGCCTAGCAAGACTCACCCGTAATCGATTGTCATCAACTGTCCAGATTCTGCTGGCAAAGTCATTTGAAGCAGCTAAGAGGTAAGAACCCTGCAAACACAAGACTCCTTTCAAATTCCTTCTGCTAGTCGATATGCAAACCAAATTAAAATATTTCCAATAAACCATTAAAACCATATTAGTGCTATTTTGTCAAGGGAAAAAAGGAATAAAACCAAAACCACAGCAGCAAATGCCAGTATGGAAAGCTAATGTAAGCCTCACCAAAGGGCTGTGGCACCTGCTTCTCCCCAAAATGGAAGGGTTTGTACATGGCTATATTAGATTATAAAAAGAATAATGTGTACCAATTATAACAATAACCAGACCAGAAAAAGGACATTCATCTTTCCCTTCTACAAGAAAATGCATTCTACCCTCATCTGTTGTGGGGTTGCTTTCCTCTTTTTTATTTTTATTTATTTTTTTTTTCTCAGGGGAAAAAAGCCCTGCATCATCTACCTCCACTGCTTAGAAAGGTCTCAGAGTGGAATTAGCCTGATTCTTGCCATTTTTGTTAAAATTCTAGCATTTTAAGTTAAGATCTCAAAAATTAAATCTGCCTGAGGAGAGAGAAATTGACTTGTTTGTGGCTTAAAGGCTTAGGGCTTTCACAGGTCACCCATGATGGAGAACGGCCACCACAAAATTTATGCTTGCACTCCTGTCCATCACAAAATACTTTCCTGAATCCTTGTAACCCTTTGGTATCTCATCCAGGCAATTCTCACAGCAAGTGTGTTCAAGCAACTTGCCAAACCTCAGGACTAGTTTCTCCTGCAGATTAACAGCACATCTCTAATGAGCTGGTCAGTGTCCAAAAGAAGGATCCTCTTGGGTGTGTATCATAATTTAGCACAGAGAATCACCAAATGGCAGAAATCATATCAGCTTTGTGCTATGGAAGAGGTCTCAGCAGAAAAGTCAGATCACATGTCCAGTTAGACCAATCCAAGACCCCAAACTCCTTCAAGCAGGACTGTTGGATGCTGATCTCAGTCATGTCTCCAATGCTCCAGGTGAACATGACCTGAGCACATCTCACACTGTCAGCAAACACTCTGCCAGCCACACCATTGCTCTGCCATGGCTGGGGAGAAACTGCTGGGAGAAGAGGGCATGGAACTGCAAGTCTTGGGATAATCAGACCTTTTACTATTCATCACAGACCTCAGTAAAGCACATATGGAAAAGAAAAACTTGACAGAAATAAAGCCTCAGTGTATTTGCTTCTTCTGTGCTGTTATGCCAGATTCAGTGGAATGCTAATTTTTTACTTTAAACAAAAATCCATACCAGCCAATGTCTGAGCTGCATATCATCATCTGAATTGTAAGGCAAGGATCAGAATTACAGACTGCATCTTTTCAAATACAGGTCTATTGTACAATTTCAGCTACTTTCATGTTTTAACTCATTTCTTAGGTAACTTCAATTAGAATGGAAACAATAGTAGAGAACAACATAATTCCATTAATTTATTCCCAACTACAAACAGTGGACATTGCACAGATACTCACAGCACTATCAAACTCTATGCTTGTAATCCCAGCGTTACTGCCAGAGAGGGAACCTTTGGGCTCACACCTATCTGCACAGAGAAAGATGAACAAAAACTTGAGCAATGGATTAGAGTTGCCACAAAATGACCCAAAAAATGAATTCTTTTAGCATCCCACCATGCCCCAAAGCAAAAAGGTTTACCTCCCAAGACTTCCCAAAGCTTAACCCTCCGGTCCATGCCTCCTGTTGCTAGTAACCGGGAGCCAGGGCTGAACTGCACCGCGTTCACCTCCCCATCATGTGCATCCTGAGGAGGGCAAGGAACACAACAGGCACCCAAAAGGGAATTAGCACACACCCATAACCCACAGAGCAGAAAGCTACACAACTTGAAGGTTACACAGAATCACAGCTGTGCATCTCTCAGAGGAAATACAACCACAGACTGGAATTCTGCTGTGGCTGGTGGTGCACAGACAGCAAAAGGGCCGATCCATAACTGAAGGAAAAACAAAGGCACATCAAAAAAAAAACCAGCAGCAAGGACTCAGCAGCAATAACAAACTACCAAAAGCCTTAGAATGCTTCCTTAAGATTAGGGTCTTAAGTCACACCAGAATAAAGAAAATTAGGAAAGGACAGGACAAAAAACAGTAACAGTTGAAGTGCTGTAGAAGGAAAGCAACTTTTCATTCCTCCATCTAGAGACAGCCATGGGACATGATCCAATCACTTCATGCAACCACAGAACAATCAAGTCAGGCTTGAGTTAAGCAAGTCTGCTAGGAAACAGCACAGCAGATGCACTGCATTCACTGGGTGTGCTGGTGATTCTGCAGCACAAGTGTGACAGCACCTGCTTGCAGAGGACGTGGGCTTAAGCTGTGCCTCCTCTCTGCAGATGCAGTGACCCCTCCCAGCACCCCTGCTTCTCACAGCCTAATGTTCTGAATACTTGAACTTTTAAAACCTATGCTAATTTTAATAATAATTCAATAATAAATTTAATAATAATTCAATTTTTATTCCTCTATTCATTTCACAGCTTTAGACTACTTACCTACACAGTATTACCACCACAATTGTAATTCATTTTAAGTATTTTCAGGACGCGCTCTTTCAAAACCAGCTTTCCTGGAAACCTTTTTATGGAATTTGTTGCTTGAATGTAGTCTGCCAGCTCATATTTAAGGCTAATCACACTTCAAATCTGATCTTTCTGCAAATGCAGAGGAGCCATTCACAGCAAAACTGGTGAAAGGCCTTGCCTAGAAGCTATATCTGAAGTGACTGCCTTTTCCACCTCCTACTTGCCTCTCCAAAGGTGAGCCCAGTCTGCTCCCTGCATTGGCCCAACCTCTGCCACAGAGCCCTTGCATTAATTCCTAGAATGCTCTGCCAGACCTAGACATGTCTTGACCCTCCACCTGGGCTCAAAACACTGAGCTAAAGCCTAACACCTCCTCACCTGATGTCCCCCATTCAAGCCAGCTCCAGCTGCCATTTCAGTCATGACCCTGCTCTCACCTGAGGTGACACTGCCACTCCCTCCATCCACAACTTCCACTAGAGAATATGGTAGCAGGGCAGTCAAGACTACACATGCTTCCCTGCTGTAATGAGCCCCACTGATACTCTGGATGAAGAAAATCAGTCATTTAATATCCATGAAAAACCCACATCCAGCTCTGGAGTGCCTAAAAAAGCTCCAGAGGCATATTCAAACCAGCAGCTGCATTACAAGACACCTTCCTTTCGGTCACAAGACAATGACTTGCACAGAAATTTAGGTTTGGCTTTGTGAGGCCAAGGAACACATAAAGGAGGTCTCAGCTTGAAAACCTTTGATCATGCACAGCCAGTGAGAACACCCCATCACCACGAGCTCCTCTTCACCAGGTTTGTTGGATTACATTTGGTGCCACAACTCCTTTTTCTGTGGAGAACTGGAACTGAATTAATCCAAAACTGTCAGCAATCTCTTCCTCCACCACTGCTCTACTATGGCATGATAGAATAGGGACTGCTGGGAGCCAAAGGGTAATGGGGTGGAATTTCCCTGTGCCCTCAGAAAACTTCTTTGTCATCATCGACCTCAGTAAGACAGACATTGAGCACACTGGCTCTGAGAAACATGTGGGGTAAGAGTAAAATGGAATGGAATGAATTCTACCAAACCAAGAATTCCTTCCTGTTTGGCAGTGCTAACAGAAAGAGTCTCAGGATATCAGTTCCCACATAGGGGATTCGCTTCCTCCAAAACCAGAACACACAATGGCAGAGCAGAGAATTCCTTCTGTACTCACAAAGACACAAATGGCAGTAGTGGGCACTCTCACTTCTTTACTGGCACCTGGATGTGGCTCTGCATTGTCCTGGGGTGCAGGGAATGAGGACAGAGAACGCCTCCTGAGATGAAACAAAGCAAAAATATTTTAAAATGAGAAATGAACACTGTTTCTCTTGAATTCATCCTGCTGTATACCTGTCAATTAACTACTCTGTACAGAAAGTAAAAAATAGGGGAAGGTGCTTTTAACATCTTTTTTTTCATTCCATCTTTCAAAAATTACATTTGTCATGTAACACTATATTCACTTGTAGCTTTAGATATTTCACAGTTCACCACATAAGTTATCTGAACTGATTACTGACCTCATTTTGGAGCAGTGTTTTAATGTTTTCAATAGGAAGGGAACATGGGACTGGCTGCAGCTCCATTGTTATGTCTAGGAAGACTCAACACCATTTCAGCACTACATCCCAGGCAGCAAAAGGCTGTGTTCCAAAGCTTGGGCTGCTCCATTTAAGCAAAGACATCCACCTACTGCAGAGCTTAGCTTAGAAGGCCTGGCTCCACTCTGGATACAAAGCACAGAACTCAACGACTTATTGTAATTAACCCTACTAAAGGAGCAAAGTGCAGTGGAAAGTAAGAGCAAACCCCATGGATTCTCTCCACAGAGAGGGGCTCATTGCCTCTCTCACTGTTGATAGTTTCTAACCAGAGTTATCAACTGCAGAATCTAATCAGCACAATGCAGGGTTCCACGTTACTTCAATGGAATACAATCACATGCTGGACTAAGAGTGGATAATGTTTTCACCTGGCAGTATCAGAAGACTGATGTCCCAAAAGGGGAGACTCAGACAGACTGGAGGGAAAGGTCAGAGGTCAGCACACGGCAAGATGGAAGAAACAGGAAGTTGAGGAGAACAAAAAAGAAAAAATAAAGAAAGGCAGAAGCTAGAAGGAAGGCTGGAAATACTGTTTGCATTCCCTGCATCACCAAGATTTTGGTGTACATTGAAACCAATAAACAAAACAAGGAGGTGAAAGTGTTCTAACCTACCCAAAGATATTACTGATAGAGTCCAGAAGGCCTCCAGCTGGCTGGGAGAGTCGCTTACTGAAGGAGGGGAGGACAGGTTTAAACCTTGTGAATAGCTTCTCCACACAAAGATCAATACAAACACATTTCATAGCAACATGTCTCTGGAAAGACTCCCTCCCCTCAGACCCAGCCCAGAGACAGAACACCAAGGCAGGCATCAGTGCAAAAGTCATCACTAACTACAACTCAGAACACATTCTGTGGGTGAAGTTTCTTCAATGGCCCTCAACCTCAACCTGTGAATTGCTGGGTTCAGATAGAACAGTCTGCCAAGTCTGAAATTTCAATCAAATTAATCCATGATCTCATGTAACTACCTCTTACTTTCCACTCACTGCTATTTTAGAGAAAGAACAAGATGCATTTAATCTAGGTGAAGATTATTTTCAGCACTTCAGATAAACCCAGCTATTTGCAAATAGCTATTGCTACTGTGATATCAGTATTCACACTGATATCTTGTAGAGTAATGGAGGCATAAAACAACAGGCATTGTGGTAGCCACATTATTAACTATACAGTTTTTAAATATTTGTTTTAAAGATTAAACAAAGATTTTTCAGGTACTAGGGTAATTCAGTCAAAACAGCAAAGGAAAACCAGCACATCTAAAGCATGGCAACAGAGAGTACAGCACATGAGCTTCCTACTGCTCTGGTAGAAGCACTAAACTGTGTTCCATCTAAAGGCAACCAGAAACCTAAGCTACATTCCCAACACTGTTGCAGCTCTACTGTGCCCCGTGCTCTCCCTCAGTGCCATGCTACAGGAACCTCCTGGTCACACACCTGGACGTCCGGCTGACAGCTCGCACCGGAGAGGTTTCCTCAGCTGTGTCTGAGGTTTCATCCGCAAGCACTTCGATGTCATCATCCCTGCTGAAGTGAGAGAAAACACCTCCTTTTCAATCAGGCTCTGACAGCAGCAACTGACAGGATGGCACTGTTCCAGGGCCTGTCAGTTCCATGGCCAGCACACCCCAGGTTTCTGGAGCTGCAGCAACACACAGGTAGACCCAGATAACACACACTGATGAAACTGTCAGAGATGTAATTCAACACACAGTGTCTGAAAACAGATATAGACAGCAACTAAATTTCAGGATTTTTCCTTCCAGCTGCCAATTCTACTCCCTGACAGCAGGGCTGGATTTCCACATCCCCTTTTTCTGTTTTCAGACCTCCTTTTCAGATTCTCTTTAATACAGGCATCCTATTTCAGCCTGTAGTACTAACTACACGCAGCATTGTAACAACCCACCACATGAGCAAGGCTTCACTACAGAGTGAATGATACTTGCTGGAGCAGTTACAGAACAACAAAAGCATGAGTTACTGCAAGACAAAGTACAGGTGATATCAGCACCTTTTTTGCTGTTTCAAAACAAGCAAGTGTTAAAGAAAGCACAAGAGGTTAATTGAATTTTCCTGCTTCACCTACACCAAGGACACCCTAATACTTTCTACACTGTTGTAATTCAGGTACAGCACTATTAAGTGTGAGAGCTGGTTTTGCTCACCAGTGTTAAGTGTTGGTGGTCAGCTGAACACAATGTGAGATTCCAACCCATGTACAATAAATTAATTCAGCTAAATTACTCAGCTAGTGCTGAAGATTTCTCCCATTAGTCACCATGGGCTCTGACAGCCTAGTATTTTTCCCTTCATGATGATTTTTCCTCCACTGCTGATTTTGCAGGACAAACTATTTTTAAACACACTTTACTAATGCCATTTGACTGAAGAGAAGTTTAAATTCAGCATTTAAATAACCAAATTGTGCCATCAGATAACACTCAACTGCAAAAGCATTTAAAAGGACGAAAACAACTAATCTCTCATTTCAGAATATAGCTGCACGTTAAATTCTAAGATTTTGGAGGAGAGTATACATGAAAAGACTATAGAAAATATATTCGTTGATTGAACGTATCAAGCTTGTGGTTCAAGAAAATACTATCAAGTTCTGCTAATATTCATTTTTAAAAACAAAGTTCCTGCTATTAAAACTATGTGTAGCAAAAGAACTTTCCAGGTTAACAATGTATTTTTAAGTGAATATAAACACCAGGGCACACCCCCTGAAATGGGGCAGTTTTTCCCTTCAGTAAGCAGCCCATTTACACAACACAAACTCTCCAACTATAAAATCATCAAGAAGAAATCAAGGCCATCTCTGAAGCAGAGTTTGAGTAGTATACAGAAGCAATTATGCTATCAGGTGTCTCATACTCCCTTCCCACCTGCCCCTCTTCCTCTCCTGGCCTTTTGCACAGCCTCCCTTCCAGAGGAATGCACTGCTTCTCTCCTTTGCAAGGGCTTGCAGCACAGCACTTAATGGGAGTCTGTGATGTGAACATAAAGAGAAAAGACCTGCAGAAAAAGCCTGCAGGCTGCTCTGGCACCGCTCAGCAGGGCCCAGGCACAGAGCATCAGATGCAGCAGTTCTAGGGTGGGCAAACACAAACAGCCTGATCAGCCCAGCTCGGAGCACCCACAGCTCCCACTGCTCCCTGCAGCCCCCGATCCCACAGCAGAGAGCCAAACACAGCAGGGCAACAACAAGGGACTAGAGGGATTCTCTTCATCTTGCCAGGTAAAGTACTCCACTGGTTTTCCCTCAGACAATAAATCCCTGCCAGTATGGAAGCCAGGTATTTTCACCCAGGTTAATTCACTTAGTACCTGTTCCCACAGGAAATCCTTGAGCATGTTTATAGTCTAACATTTTTAAATCCAGGCATCTCCAGAGTAATTGTTTCATTACTTCACTGTTTCATGAAAAACTATCTTAAAGACCAAAGGCACACATCTCGATATGAAAACATTTTTGTAACAACATCTATTGACCATATGAACCATTCCTGGGACTTAAAAGTCCAAGCATCTATTTTCAGTCCTAAAAGAGCTCCTTCTTATGTAAGTTCAGGTAGGGAGAGTTACTGCACATTTCTGACTTTACACAAGAAGTGCCAACACTCCTCTACATCACCCAGTTTAGGAGTAACAAAGGTACCATTTATCATGCTTCTGCATAAACCTGAGGCACAAACTGATGAAAGAGACTGTAAACCAAGACTGCTTACGGTTCAACAGGCAAGGGTTCTTTGGCAGCTTCTGCCAGCTCCTTCTGCAGCCTGGCCTGGCGTCTCCTAAGAAAGAGAACCCAAAGTTATTAAGAAAGAAAGAAAAAAAAATCAACATTTTCTTAATCCCATTCCAAAGGCTACCCTGCACAGTTTTGATGGGCCTCATAGGATTAAAAAAAAAAAAAAAAAAAAATCAGTCCCCTGCTCTAGTTTTATCCTGCTTTTCATGATACTCTGAGCAGAAGAGGCAGTTTTCTTATTGTGAATAGCAAAAGACAAGATCACTCAAGTGAAGCAGTGAGGCAAAGTGAACCTATAGCCCTTTATGATCCATATGAATACGCACTACCTTGGAGGGTAAGAACTTGTCAAAGTAATGATTATGTTAGTGAAGCTAATACAAAACTGCCAGCTACTGTGAGACTTGTAATATAGGTCAGTCTCCAGGTATCATTAGCTGGCAAGTAAGCTGAAGCAATTCAGAAGAAAAATTATTTTGCAAGGAAAAAAAGCCTTTTTTAAAAAATTACTTTTGCAGTAAGTTTTACATCACTCATGGCAGATGCTCATTCTAGAGGAATGCAAAAAACTGGAGTTAGTCAAGTCAAAAAAGGATAAAACTAGGAGCAGGATAAGATGCAATATGAACAAGAGAAGTCCAAATATAATACCAGCAGAACCCCACAGTTTCTATCTGTTTTAGGATCTTCAGCACACAGTTAAATGTTGCTGAAGAAACAAAAGAACATGTTTTATTCATTTAAAAGACAGGAATGTTTTAACACAGTGTCAGTCTGTGTTAGCTGGAAAAAGTTCTGGACTCTCACTGTGTTATGCAATAATCGAGATCTCAGAGGTCAAAGCTAAATCTGGTTTTATCCTATGCACTCATAACTGAAAAACATACCAGTTTTATCAAACAAAGGTCATGGATCTCACCTTGAATCCTTTTCATTTTCTGCATTCAAACGATTGGCTTCTTGTGCTTTCTCTGCCATCCAACGTGAGACCAGCTCCTGGTTGTCCTCAGTAGTTTTCCTTAGTTTCTCCTCCAAGGCATTGAAGGTGATCTGGAGAGCATCATATTCATCTTTCAGTGTCTGATTAGCTCGCTCAAGATCTTGCAGTTTGCTACGCAATTCCTGGCACTCTGTTTCCAGTTCAGAAATCTTTTGCAAATACTCTGCAATCCTGGAATGGCAACAAAACATACAAAACATGAGGACCTCCTTTGGGACCTGTGCCATCTTCCTCTTGCTGTTTGCACAATGCCTCACAAAGGCATTTTTAGCCCCGGGCTAAGACTCCTAGAGAATATTATAACTCCAATAAAGAACTCCATCAGAAGTCTGGTCACTGACAAAACAGCTCTTACTCACTTGGCTTCATTCATCTGCATCTCTTTGTCCTTCTGCTGCATTTGGTTGTTTAAATCAATTACAGACTGGGCCAGCTGGAGAGAGGAGAAAATTTCATTACAAACTGCAGGGATGTTAGTGGATAACATACTGAGCAGCCTTCAGTGCAAGCACAGACTAATCTAGCATTAAAAGCATGGATCACACATTTCAGGTATTTTTTTACCCCAGCTTTCTATGCAGATCTGCTACACAGATCATTAAATCAGAGAATCCACTTTCAAAAATAAATTGTCAAGAAGCTGCTGTCCTTTGCTGTCTCATTCTCTTCCCTCGAAAAGCTTCATTAACAGTCAGACCAAACAGAATGTATATTAGAAGAAATTTTAGTAGTGGAAAAATCAATACAGAATTTAAAAATTGTCAAGTAAGTAAACAAATGAGTACTGACAACCAAGAAACAAATCATCCTGTTAGGGCCAGGACAGCCATTTCAGGAGACACACAGCTCTCACTGAGAACACAGGTGCCACCAAGAGTTTCCTCACAGAGGAAGTAGCTGGTGGAGTGCCTGCAGAGCACAGAGAGGCAAAGGCCAATGCTGCCAAGCTGCAGCTGCCAGCTCATACCTTACCCAGCAGCACGGCCTCAGCTGCCCAGGAAGAAGGGAGACTGATTTCTGGGAAGAGTGCCTGCCTGTGTAAGTGGTTTTAGGACACCAGGCTGGAAGCAAAGAAACTATTCTGAGCGCCCTAACCACTTGGTGCACACCTCCCAGAGAAAACAGTCTCCTCTTTGGAAAGCTCAGAACTGCTGACACTGGAGCTTCTTCATTCCCCACCTCCAGTGGAGCATGATCAAAGGAGCATTTTCCAGGCCATTCATACCTTTTCCCTATGAAAGTGTGCAGTCCCATTCAGGTTTCAGACTCATTCAGTCCACTGCTGTGCTTTTATAAACCAAATTCTGCTGTTGAAATTCCCTATCTCCTGGTCAAAAAAAAAACCCCAAAATAAAATCCAAGAGGTCTGGCTTTTCCTCTACTCCAGGCCCAAGTGAGAATGTTACAGAACTCCTGGGCTCTGAACCAGCATTCCCTTTCCAGCTTAGCACTGTGGCTCTTTCAATCTTGGCTGGTGCTGCAAAGGGAGACCAGTGAAACCACACACAGCCCCCTATGCCCCACTCACTCTAAGTCTTTTCAGGTTACTAGAGTCATATACAGCTCTGTGTCCCAGATCAGTTCCTTCCTCCTCTAATACAGCTAAGAACCTATTAATGAAGCAGAAAACTCAGCACTTAATAATCATGCTATGCTGACAATAGAAGCTCTCATCTCCTGGTGACAGTATTACAGACCAGCCTGTGTCTGGTTGGTTTTAATCATCAGAAATTGGGGAAGCTTAAAAAGACTCTAGATGAAAGGAGGAAAAAATGATGATTAATGAGCCTGGTAAAATCATGGTCAGGCTCCCAAAAGGCCACACATGGACCACAGAGCACATAAGACTTTCCAACCTCGCCACGTTTCTTGTGCAGCTCAGTCAGCTCCTCCTGGTGCTTTATCTTCAGCTGGGCCAGCTCCTGCAGCTGAGCGTCGTTCCATGTGCTATCGTGTCCTGGGCTGCAACAGGACAGAGAAGAACAAGACATGTCCCAAACTACAATCCAGTTCTTTCTGTGCCTTTGCCAGGCCCAGACATTGCCTCCTTTGGAAGCTCTGTACACCAGAGACACAGGTGATTCATAACAAACCAAATCACACAGGACTGGAAAGTTACATCTCCTGAGCACTAGATTCACTTTTTGTACATTTCTAAACCAGTATTCAAACTCCAAGGGAAGATAACTAGCTTTGTTTAAATTTGCATGAAGATGACTGAGTCTTAGAAGTAAAGTCTCTAAAATCTGGAAAAAATTACAAATATTTTACCACCCTGATTTGTTCTGGAGGGAGGTGGTAGAACTTGAAGATGCAAGATGGAGAGGGTACAGAACCAAAAGCCAGGAAACCAAGGGAGTATTCCCAGGCCCTCGGGTTTACAGTCTCAGGTGTGACAAGTCACTCCTCCATTGGCCTGACTATACTCTTTTTGTGCCTAAGTTTTCAAGTGGTTACTAACTGTGTTTTTCAACACTATTACTGTGAGATAATCTCGAATTTTTACATATAAGAACATTTATATCACCCTCTGCCCCAAACAACTATGGAATGTAACATTTATCACTTGTGTCTCTGAAAACACAGAGGCAGGAGCAGAGAAAACCAAGTTTTTTTAAAGTATATACACACAGACTCTGAGCACATTATCAGCTGTATTTTGAATTACAGCTTCTTAAAAAATCATAATTTTAATTAAAACATCATTATATCAGACAAACAGAACAAGGTAATTGCATCCCTTTCTGCAGTCATTTTGTGTTGTAAAGTTCAGGGAGAAACAGAAATCCATCCAAATGTCTCACAGTGATATCAGTAACCTAATGCTCTTCTAAAGAAACAATCAACCAACTCCTCACTGAACTAATGCTGCACTAACTGCATTTCCAAAAAATTGTGTGCAAACAGACAAGAAGCCAAGTCCTGTGGTAATATCCAACACATCCTATAGCTCCACTCACACACACCCCTACAGCCAGCACTAGATCCTACTCCTTGACCCTGAGGGAAGTAAACACACCTTTCTTCAGCTATCTAGGATGAGAAAAGTCATTTTGTTTCAAAAACCTGTCATATACTGAGCACAGTACCAGAGTTCAGCTGACTCTTTACTTTCAGATGCTGCTTCTGTGTCTTTCTTCTCATCCACATTTGGTCCAGCCTCATCTCTTAAGACATGGCATTCAGTCAGAACACAATTCCCATAAACTGAAATGGTTCAAGACAGCTACAGCCATCACAAAGCTTTTAAGAACTTTTACATGGGTGTTAACATCAGCCTGCTGGAGCTTTGCCTGCAATTCCTGTAAACCCAGGAGGAAACTTCTTCCCTCTCTGCTATACTGATTTGTTTTGTATCCAATTGTACATGCTCATACAGCTCCATGCTCCAGAGGGGTTCTGGTTTCAGGCCAAGAGCAAAAAGAACCTCAATAGAGAAAGCAATTTTTACAGAAGTAGGAATTCTGAGCTCCTTGGCCCTGCCTTCTCTTCAGGTACACTGAGGGCAGAGCTGGCCAGCCCTCACCTGGAACAGACAGGCTGTCCAAGGGACACTTCTGGCACACAGGTTTGCTGTGCAAACACCAGCAGAACCAGCAGCACAACCCCTGCCTTCAGCACAAGTGCTACTCCAGCTTAGGGACAAAGCTTCCCAAGAAATCCTATTAAAAAGCAGGCACAAAACACCTTCCTTTTGGCATCTGGAGCTTACTTAGGACTGACACTCTGCAATCATAGTTTATTTCTGTTCTCCTCTTTCATGTGATGACACAGATTGAAAGAAATGAAGTCATTAAACCAGTCTATACTCAACAGGAAGAGCAGAAAACACTGTAAGTGTTCAAGGCAAACAGACCAGGAGCAGCAGCTCATTGTGGTCCACGTCTGTTCCATGAGTTTGTGATAAATCAGCTTCCTTCCCAAACCTGGCCAGATCTTTCTGTACCACATACTCTAAAGCTACTGTAACTTCATCATAGGCTTAGACACAGCTATAAGTTATATTCAGTCCACCAGAATTTAAGTTTGTTGTGTGCCAAGTCACTGTAGGGATCTGGGAGTTGTTTGTGTGAGGCATCAAACAGGTTTAGGTTACAAGGTGTACAACAAACAGCAGCTGACAAAAAAGGAGTGTTACATACCTGATCTCATGTCTGCTCTGTATGTCATATTTTTCTGCTTGAAGTTTATCAGCCAGCACTGCATGAAGGTCTGACTTCTCCAGCAGCTTGTTATCTGCAGGAGCAAAAAGTACACTTAAGACAAGCAGAAAGCAAATCCAGAGTCCCATCTTCTCCTGCCTAGATCACTAGCTGTGATCTAGACCCTTTAATTACTGTGACACAGCCAAATGCTACATGAGCCTCCACCACATCACTGTGTTCTCCCTCCTCTTTGATCTTAACAGGTTAAGGCACCATCCCCCTACAACCCCAGGAACTCCTTGTTAATCCAGGCACTGTGTGGGACTGGTCTTATGAAAGCTTAATAGAGAAAGAGAGAGCAACTCCTCAGGTGCATGGCTATCTGCTAAAACAGAGTAGTTCAAAGTTCACACTCTGCAGATCCCCAAAGGACAGCAACCAGGAGAACAGGCCTGGCAGAGAGGCCAAACCCAGCTCTGCCGTTTGTTTTCTCCCACAGTGTGTGGGACCCCTCTGCCATCCTGACACAGCTGAGGCAGGAGAGGGGTGGGCAGGAAAGCCCTGAACAGAGAGTGCTGGCCCCTGGATGGCTCCAAATTTTACAAAAGACCATGAGCAGGGTCAATAGCACCATTGTTCTCGGTTCCACAAGCAACTGGGCGGGAATTGTGCAGACAATTCAGACATTCAATCACTGTCCAGAGCACAAAGCGCTCCAGCCCCTCAGAGAACTGAAACAACTACTTATTTTCCCCGATAAAGCAGAAACTCCAGCTTTCCTGTTATTACAGATATGTCCCAAACAATCCCGTGAAAATGGCTCGCCCGAGGCCCCTGGGACCCTGTCCCAACACGGCTTTCCCACTTTTGAAGAAGAGGAGAAATCCCAGAATGATTCGGGCTGGAAAGAAGCACAGCGGGTCCCCAGGTCCCAGCTCCCTGCTCAAGCAGGGTCATCCCCACAGCACAGAGCACCAGTGAATCAAGTTCTGGAAAACCTCTAGAGAGGAAGACTCCACACCCTCCCCACTGAGCAGAGTCTCCCTGCACATACTGATGGGCATCGGTGAGGGAGAAGAGAAGCGCTACTTCGGCCGCGCCCCCGCCGGGCCCCGCTTACACTGGGCGATGATCTCCTCGAACGCCTGGCGCTGCAGCCGGTCCCGCCGCCGCAGCTCCTCCGCGATGTGCCGCTTCCAGGGGGGGAACCCGGCGGCGCGCAGCCCCGACGCCATCTCGGCGGCAGGCCGGGCCGGAGCGGGCTGGGGCGGGCAGATCGGGCGGGGCAGGGGTCAGAGAGGCGGCGGGAACGCGGGGAGGCGGCGGGAACCCCCTCAGAGCCAGGCCCGGACCCGCGGCCGCGCCCCCACACCCGCCATGGCGCCGCGCTACGTCAGGGGCCCTCGCGTCTGTGCGGCGCGCCGCGACCGCGACACAGGCTGCCCTGCCACTGCCTGACGCCGCCCGCCCGCCTCCGGCGCCGCCGAGCCCAGCAGCGGTGCCCCCAGGCCGGATGGCGCCGCGCGAGATCGCGCTGCGAAAGCAGAGGCGGGGTCAGCCTCAGGCGGGAGAACAGGCACTTTCTGAGGCGAGGAGGCCCCGCGCCGCGCCATTTTGTGCCCTTCGTGCAGGCGCCATCTTGAGAGCGGCCCTGCGCCCACGTTGAGCACGGCAATGCCGCCATCTTGAGAGTGGCCAACCCGCCATGTTGGAGCAGCGCATGCGCACAGACTGCCCGTGGGCACAGCGCTCGCAGCTCCGTGTTCCCGCAGGGCTGGCAGCACTGTGTCGTGCCAGTGGCACCGGCGGGGCTTTGGTGAGGTGAAGGGCTGGTGCCCGTGTGACAGCGGGACTGTCCGGCCGCCACACCTCTGCCTGCCGCTGTTAAAGCACGGGTGTTACTGTGAGCGAACATTAGACATTTATTAAGGGAGAGCAAGAGAGCAGAGAGAATGTTGTACTACACTATGCAAATAGCACACCTGCAGTGCCATTTGTTGAGTGTCTTTGTGCTCTTTCCCGCCTTTAGAGACACCACGCTCGTCGCCTGCCAGGGGAATCACAGAATAACGGGATGGGGTCAGGCTGGGAGGGCCCACAGTGGCTCATCTGGCCCCACCTCCCTGCTCCAGCAAGGCCGTCCCAGAGCACAGGGCCTTGGATTGTATCCAGAGGATTCTGTATTATCCCCTGTAAGGACAGTCCAGATCCTTTCTGGGCACTTTCTTCAGGGCTGGGGCACTGCCCTGGGAAGTTCTGTGTAGGGGGAACTCGTTGGGATCAGTCCCTGCCCGTTTCTCTGATACCATTGCTGAGCCCCCACGGCAGAGCCTGGGCTCTGCTTGGAGCTCTCCCTGTGGACAGGGGCAGACAGGGATGAGGGCCCCTCTCGAGGCTGAACAGCCCCACCTCAGCCTTCAAGGAGGGGGGTGGTGAAATGAAATGGAGCATGAGGCTTTCTAGGAAAAAAAACCCTGATTTGGAACATAGTAGAAGCTACTATGCAACCCTCCCTGCGCTCCCACCTTCTGGCCAGCCTCGTGAAAAAGCCACATGTTCTCTGGCAAATGTAAAAACCCATAACAACTCACTCCAATGCTCTGCTTTCAACTGCTTAATGAGCGGAAAAATGTGTGCTTATGTCTTCACAATCTGATGGCTGAAAAAATGGGTATTAACGTCTTTGGAATGGGTGATGATGTCTCTACTGACTTTGGGGAACAGGTTCCTTACCAGGCCCAGACAGTTTGGGCTCCAGTCTGCACAAGGCTGAACTTTGGGGTAAAATGCCAGGTTCAAGGGGGGAACGTGGGGTAAGTAAGCGGTTTGGGAAGGCTGAACCTCCCTAGCAGCTCAGCCCATGGGGAAGGGAAGAGGAACACACACTGGGGGTTCAGGATAAAAGGGAGGCTGTGCCTCTGAAGCCTTGAGAGAGAAAAGCCTGTGGGTGCATGGCCCGGTGGACTCTCTCCCTTTATTTGAATAAAGTTGAAGGACTCCTCTGCCTCCTTTTGGACATAAGCCTCTGGTGTTTGTGGATTTTCCTGACATTAACTTCCTAAGTAATGTGTTAGGTAACCATATTATTGTAATTTAATTAGAAGCTGGGCAGAACTCATAATGCTTTTTGTCTTGGACTGCCTAAATTGCTTTGTTTTTCTTTTGAGTAAGTAAATGAAGATGCAATTATGAAATTGTAACAGCGTGAAATAGATGATTCACTACATTATTAGACAGGAGGAGAGTGTGCTGCTGGTTGAGTTAATAATAGTTCATGCTCTGTCTTACAAAGTACACAATGCACGAGGTTGTGTGCATTCTCTGTAAAGTTGAATTGGCAAAGTGTAAGCACAAAGCCTATTTCATTCTACTGATACATCATAAAATCAAATTAGTTGTTTAAAAACTTAAAATTACCTGTACCTATGTGAGAAACAAGTTAATGGGAATTGGCTTTCACAGGGTATTATATGAATTGATATTAAATATTTTAATGTTTAATATCAATGATATAAAGTGGTTGATGTTGTTACAATGGCCTAGTTGTGAGGATGGTTTTGTATGTTTTAATGTGGATTTATGAGTTCACATTGGGCAGACTGTTGCTAGCCAAACCTTTGAGACACGACCTTAAAAGGAGTAGAACTCCATCCAATGATAACCTTGATGACCACAGTGACAAAGCTCCGTCAGTGCCCAAAAGAGTGACATGGGGTGGGACAGTGTAAAATCAAAATAAATATGCATAAAGCTGATACAACACTGGGGTATAAAAAGTGGAGCTGCCATTTTGTGCATGAGCCTCTGGCATTTGGCCCACACTCCCAGCGCTGTCCCTTTTGTTTTGTGAATTTTTTTATTGTTCTCAATAAAACTTTTGTAACTCTTTGCCATGATCAGGGTCTGGATCGTTTATAATAACCGTGAGATTAAGTCCTAATTCTACAGCTATAGTTACTGAACTCCTGAAGGGCAGTGCTGAGAGCAATTCATCCTGTCAAATCTTCTTTATGTCTTTATCCTTTGCAGGGAAAGAGGAAAGCAACCAAAGCATGAGGAAAAGGGAAAGTCAAAGATACAGAAATACAAGGATCAGACTTAATAACTACTCTCCTGAGGCTTCTACCTTGGCTTTAATATATAATCAGCCCCAAAGTTCCTCACTGAGTTTGAACTGCCAACCCTCTGCTTTTTTTTTAGCCCCTCCAGAAAAAAATCCTTCAGCTCATTTTTGAGAGCAGGCTTTTCTCACTAAGACTGGGAGGGGAAATAACTTCAGCAGGGAAGGAAAAATAATCAGTGTGAGTAGAAAAGACATGGGGGGGGAAAAAAGTGTGTCCTCAAGCATTAGATAAACAAATTATATCAAACATTGCACATTTTACTGTTTACAGCAGCTGCTAGAATGTTCCAAGGAAAGGACTTAAATTGTCATCTGTATATGTTTGAATTTATAAAAATCCCACTACATTACCTTTCTGTAATCTGTGATTTCTGTAGTGGGCAGGACATTCTGATTTTCTTTACAGTACCTGCTAACAATGCTTTTCCCACTCCAATACAATATTCTTAAATATATCTGAGGTTTCTGGAAGTCTTTCCAATAGCACATCCCTGCTCCATGTCATCATCTGTCATCCTGCTCTTCTCTTTTATCCCCAAGAACTGTAAGAATGTGTGACAAAACAGCTTGTTCTGGCTGAAAGTGGCTTTTTCACTTGAAGCACCTTTCTGCCACCAGCAGCATCCAAATCTGGCAATTTGTTCAACACTTTAATTCAGAAGTAAAAATTTTAGACAACCAAATTAGCCGGCTTGTCAGAAAGCTCCTTCTGCAGTGAAGAAACAAAAACTGTGCCTCCAAGGAATTTGGCACTCCACATCCACAGAGGGAAAAGCAGGACTTCTGGTGGAGACATGTCCAGCTTTAGCCAGCACATTTCAGGAAGAACTGAGAATATCAAAGCAGTCCAGCAGGAATGACAAATGTATATAGGAGATTTGATCCAGAAGAAAGACTTGGACAGTTGGAATTGTTTACCCTAACAATGATAAGACATATGGGAAACATGACAGCACTATGTAAATATGCATATCAGAAGATTGAGACAATGCCCTGATCTGCTTGTTCATATAGGACAGGATTACATTGAAAGGGCCTAAAGTTAACCCAAAAAATGGCCACTAGAGATGAGGAAGGGCTGGTAAAAGCTGGGGAAGCTCGAAACAGGCTCCTTGAGGCAGATGAGAATCTCTGCTGCTGGAGGATTATAAAGCCACTTGAAAAGATGGTGAAGGGTTTTGTAGTGAGTCTGATCTCTGTATTTTGCTCTTTGATGGTGTGATGAATGGATTGCAGGGTCCCGTCAGAGCCCCCTCCTGCCCAGTTCTGATTCTGAGCTGGCTGTGTTGTAAATGACACTCAGGTGACAGAACAGATCCCTGCTCTGAGGTGAGTGGAGCAGGTTCTGATGGGATCTTTCCCTGAAACTTGGTGCTCAGATTAACCTACATCCTTTACTGCTTCCTGACTGGGAACCAGAAATGCTAATTTTCCAGGAAGATACTGGATAGTGTTCTTCCCAAAGTGAGGCTCAATTTTCAAATTCAGCTTTGTTTTGGATCTTCAGTTTACCTTTGAAAAGGGGGAACATGTCCCACACCTGGTCATTTTCTTTGTATTTCAAGTCATAATGTCAAGATGCAAATTACTGTGAAGTAGACATAAATTGTGCTAAATCTCCATTATTTCTGTTGCAAAGGTTATCTGTTATTTTCCAGTCTCTTTGTTACCTTTACTTTCTTCCCTTGTCTGACCTATTTCTTTGAGAGAGAGCTTTTACATCCCTTCTGCTGGGTTCCCTCTCCTTCCACAAAGTCTTTGTTGCTTTTCTGTAACCTTTCTGCATGTTGCTGGACACCTTCATCCCTTTTCATCCATGCATTCTCTCTCCAGCCCAACATTTACTAGCCTGTTCTGTGCCATCTTTATTAGTTATGATATAATCTAATACTTCATGATAAGAGAGACTAATTTGTTTTCTATGTAATCTAGACCAGACCTTGGGAAAAAAATGCAGTAAAGTGTTAATAATAACTGTAATGTGTAGCAGATTACCATCCCTGGCACAGAATAGTCTCAGTTAAAGAGAACCACACAAGTATGGAATAGCTGAGTCTGGATGGGCCTCTGGAAATTCTCCAGTCCAAGAACCACATTCAGCAGACCCATGCCTTGTTTTTGGTGATGGCTTCTGCAATACTGGGGTTTGTGAAACAGTTCTGATCACAATTTTCTGAGAGCTACAGAAGAATGTCAGTTAGTTTTTATCTAAAAGGGTACACTGAAGTATCCTTTAGTTTAGCTGACTTGGGAGCTAGAACAAAGATTATCTGCAAATAAAATTAATGAAACTGAATAATGGTAATGAACTGAGAACAGAAGTTCAGGGAAATTTGGTGATGCATAATGAGATAATGCTTTGTGATGATGCATAATAAGATAATGCAGAAAAAATATAGCAAATTACAGTAGGCAAAAAGAAATATCACTCTTCTGTCAACCAGGGATTCAACTGTGAAAGAATTTCTGAGAAACTTCAGTAGTTTAACACAAATGCAATCTTAAAATACTTCTTATTAGAATCCTCATTTGAAACAACACCATGCACACACTGTAGAGTTAGGAGGATCTTTTTCATATTCATGTGAGTAATAACTTGATGTTTGCTTACATATATATTTAGAAAGAACATCTCGTACCTCTGCAGCTAACACCTTTCCTGCACATTGAAAGGAGTATTTGGCTTATTCTGTAGACCTTGCATAATGAATCCTTCCCTAGGCCTTGCAGGAATGCACTGGGGAATGCAGCAGCCTTTTGGTGGCAGGTATGACCAGCATGTGAGACAGTGCCAGCTGGGCACAGAGAGCAGGCAAAGCCATTGACCCTGTCACTAACTACTTCAGCCTCAACCACACAGATGCAGTGGATGTAGCTGATGATGGAGAGGCTTTGCAGCACCCATCACTTCCCCAAGCCCAGCCCACTGGCTGCACCTTAGATCTCTGTTATCAGCAAGGAACATCACAAATGACAACAGGGACAGAGCCTTGTTGGCAGATGTCCCACAGAGGAAAGTGTCAATTTCTCTCTGGAAGAGATTACAGAAATAAAAGCGAAATATCTGGCTATTGTCTATTTCCAATCCATCTGCTGATACTGGTGAGGAGGTCTCTGGGAACTGTCCTGCGTCACCTTGGTCAGTTGGTCCTGACACCCACAGTTCATTCACACATAAACATCTGAGCCTCCACAATGTTATAAAAATAAGGAGCTTGGTCTGGGGGTGAATTAGTTAATTTCTGGACAATGCATCCCTTCAATCACATGGACTATTATTGTATTATCACAAGGACAACAGAAAAGCATAGTAAAATTTTAGCAAACCTTTCATTTTAAAAACAAGTGGGAGGATACTGACTAAAGGGTTTGTCTTAAGCTGTACAGAAAAAGGCTGCTTGGTCCCAAGATTACAGGCTTAAGCAACATAATTTCTAACATTAAAATTATCCCCTTGCTATTTTGGAGTGAGTAACTCACCTTAATTTGGTTTTCCTTCTGTTTTTCCTCTTCCTTGAGCCATTTTCTCTAAGACCATACCTTTATCAGGAAGAAAATGTGTCACCCACAACATCTCAGGAAAAGGCTTAAAGGTGCCCTGTGGTGGTTGTGCACTGAGAGGACAAGGAAACTGGTGTTAGGTGCAACTGGTGCAGGCAGGAAATGGGGGTTTAAAACTTACTGTGTTCTGCAACATAATATCCTGTAGCTGGGAACTTCCAAGCATTTTTGGCAGCTGGGTCTCCATGGAAATAAGTACAGAAAGACTCCAGCTATTTTAAGAACTTAAAATAAAGGATGCCGGAAGGTTATGGATAGATAATACATCTGGGGGAAATCAGTACATTTTTGGACAATTCATATCCTTCAGTTTATGTCTTTTGCTCATACTGCCTGCACCAACTTAAGTGGACAACAGCAGAGAGGGTAGAGAAATGTGCGTAGTTGGGCAAGAGGGAGTCAGGCTCAGGGACATCAGAAAAAGTAGCAGCTTGTGTTCAGTTCTGCTTTCATGTTGTTCAAGACATGGGCAGTAAAACCAATAGATGTCATCTTAGAGGCTTTGTGACAGAAATTAAAAATTAAATATAACAAACAGAAGCATCAGGCTTATTTGTTCAATTCAATTTTCTGATATTAACATCTGCCAAGCTCCCACAGCTGTGGTTATCACTTCTACCATCCCAGGGCACAGCCAGTCTGGGCACGCAGACAAGTGCTGTGTAGTGTCTCACCACTTGTCGTACTTCTCCACTCCGTGTCTAAGCTGCTCACCTGAGAAGACTCTCATCCAGAGAGGCTTCAGAAAGCTCTTTACAGAGCCTTCTTTTGAACACTGTCCACTTGCACAAAGTCTGGTGGTATTTGCCACCATTCCATCAGACTGTCTTTGGAACCCCAAGTGGGTAGACAACCCATTTTTAGCATAGGAATAGGAATGTATTTTTTTTCTGCTGGAAACTTGGAAGAGAGCTGCTTTTCTTCCCCAGCAGCATGCCTTTCTAAAGGACAGACCAAATTAAGTACCTGGATAGATTTTTATGCCTTAGCAAGTCCAGTGTTCTCAAAATCTGTTCATCTGCAAATCTGTGCACATTTCAAGCAGCATTCTCAATCAGGAGAATGTTTACACAAGAAGCTATATTTGTTTTATATCCAGCTTTTAGTTTCTAGACTTCAGGGATTTTATTTTTTACAATTTAGAGAATTAGGGATAAAACAAAAAAATCCGAGCTTGTCTCATTGTTGAGAAGATTTTTTTTTTAATAGAAAGCTCATCCCATTTCCATCTCCACACATAGAAGAACACAGCCCAGAATTACTGAGAGCTGATCTAACTCTCTCTATTGGACAGAAAGCTCACCTGCTCCAGGTGGCCACAGAAGTTCTTCTGCAACCTGGAAAAGTCAAATGCTCCTCAGGGCCAGCAAAATACCACAGCTACTGAATTATGGTGATTACACAGAGAGAATTCTGCTGAATAAAGCAAGAGGAGTGTAAGCTCATGGTTTCTCTTGCTGATTTGTAGGTTGTAGAGCCAGGTGCTTCAGTATTGATGCTTTGAAACTCCAACCTGCAGAGCAAAAAATCATCTCTTCTAGAAAGGTTTCTACCTGCAGGTTGTCCTTTTCCACCCATTCTCACAAGCCTGTGCTTGGCCCCTTCTCCTCCAGTAAAATTACTGTACCTTGTCTACACTCACACAATTAGTAACTGTACCTGCTCACAGATCCTGTAGTTTTCAAAGCAGCTATATCCACAGAAGGTCTGTGCAGACAGATGGATGCATTCTCAGTCCGTGTCGTGCCTTCCCTGCTCTCCTTGGTGCCTTTGGTGTTTTCTCTGGGCAGGGACTACTCTCACTGAGCAAGCTGGTGTAACACCCACCTAAAGCTGAATCTTGTGACAGGTAGTTCTGAATTTTCAATAAAGAATGACCAGAAAGGTGACTATTTTATTATTTTTAAGGTAATCAACATGGAAACAATAACAGTGATTAAGTCACAACAGGCTTAATCTAATAGTAACCATAGCATTAATACTTAACACGAATATAACAGAAATTAAAAGTATGTTAACATTATTCATTCTCAGTGAACAAAAGTGTACAGTAAGGTCAGCATTAGTCTATTAAGAATGCTCCAAAACCAGCTGGCCAGTGTCCTCCAAAGCAGAGTGCTTGCTGCCAGGCAGGCTGGGGTGCTGCTATCTGCCCCTGCAGGCAGTTTTACTCCTGGGCTCCCATGGGCCCTTCTCCTTCCCCTGTTTCTGCCTGTGGTTCTGGTGTTTCCCTCTGTTTGCTGGGCTATCAAAGCAGGGCCTGCTTGAAGGAAAAGGAGGTGCAGTGCCATGGGCTGGCCCTCACTTGCTGTGTCCCCTGGGTGGTGCAGGGATGCAGCCCCGAGCTCCAGGCAAGGCTGGCTCCACTGAGGGTGTGTGACCTGCACCACTATCTGCTATTCAGACTCTTTCCCCACCCTCCATGACCTCCTTGCTGCATGGATAGGACATGCTTTGGAGCTGTACCGCTTTTAAGATGCTTTCTTTTACATATCACTCTGTAATAGGAATCCTGTAACACAAAATAGAAACCTTGCTTTTGTAGGAAGGGTTTTTTTTCAATGCACCCTTTTCATCTCCTAGTCCTTGTACCGTACTGTCCTCTTTTCCAAAACATTTACTAATGCATGAACTTGGCCACCCACCTTTACATGGAAGTACCAAAGTGACACTCAAAAGAATAACTTGCATTTGGTATTGTGGTCCTGGCCCCTCTTGGTCTGAGCAACATAGGATAAGCTTCTCAGCTAGAACATTTTCATAATCACAGGGAGGGCTGCACCCTCAAAAATAAAATTCCTCAGTCTTTTTTAGAACCAGACTAGAGGCCATCAGTGTGAACAAAGCAGTAGACTCCATTGTTCTTCCCATCAGGATTCCTCCTAGAGTACCACCAGCTGCTGTGTCATGTTCACTGTAGAGACAAGAAAAGACATCAGCTTGTATATTGTGAATCTTACAAGTTTTGATGCAGATGGAAAAGAAAAAACCCTACAGCCTGCTCAAGTGAGGTTTTTCTCCCAAATGCACTTGCTAAGGCCTCCCCTACTCCTCATACAGCTCTTGTGTTCTGTTGAAAAAAACCCAAAAAACAACACAAAACTAAACCAAACCACAACAAATAAACCCACCAGCCCAGGAAAGTATATGTCTGATTATTTCTGTAGAAGGTTCAGTACTGGTTTTGGACACACTGTTCTAAGTTGCTAAGTGTTTACCACTAACTACTAACCACTTTTAATCATCTGTTTATTACTTACAGCAAAGCCCATTGCCCAATACTACAGATTTGTGCTGTCTGGCCAGGATCAACCACTTTCAGGAACAGCACAGTATGCCCAAAACAAGACATAGCAACATACTGACTTTTTGCATTCCTCTTGTGGACCACCAGGCTTAAACAGTCCAAGGCCATAGTTTCACAACATGCCATCCTCTGTAGCAATACTGCTTTAGGATATTCCCTGGCACCCCTTGCTCTGCATGCCCTGTAGGTTTGTGGGACAGCACTGAGCTTGGATAGGAACCATGGAGTGAGGAGTTAGTGACTGAGCCAATAGCACTCCAGTGGCAGTGCCATCTCCCACCCCACTCATGCCCCCAGTAACGCACCGGTGTCGTTGTCCTGCCGACCGGGCCCTCCTCCAGCCGGTGCTTCCCGGAGTGCGGCAGCTCTGAACTGTCCCGGTAATCGCGGCCCTTGGAGTTCTGCATGTCCAGCACTGCCCGGCTCTTGGAGGGAAGGGGTGGCTTGTTCTGCTGTCCCTGGATGCTGACTTCAGGCCTTGATGGCTTCACGAGTTTTTTGAGCGGTGCCGAGTTTTCCAATGGTGTTGTCATCTTTGGTTTGCCTTGACTCTTTTCCCCCGTATTCTTTTCTTCCAACTGGCAGGATGAAGTGTAGGACCGGAATCGCTGTGTGGGCACCAGGAAAGGTGGGGATGGCTGTTTGCCAGAGGTCTTGCTGCACTCAGGCTCCTGTGGCTTTGTGAGATGACAGATCTGCTCAGGCAGTGGCGGCTGCTCTTTCCGCAAGGCCTTGGGATATTCCTGCTCTTTCTTGGGGGCCACCTTGCCCTTGGAGCCCATGGAGCCATACAATGGGTTCTCAAACATCTCTGGCCTTTGCTGCCCCTCCTCCGGCAGCACAGGCTCTGCTGTGGATTTCCCCATGTCAGGCGGCCTACAGTCGTGGAAAGAGGGTGAAAAGGAGACTTGTGAAGAGCAGGCAAGAGAGTCATTGACTGACTTAGAGAGGACATGAATAGTAAATGAGTGTGAGCAAATTAAACTGACTGCCTGAAGGGGCAACAGGAAAACAATTAATCTCAGGGAGAGAGAACAAAACTGTGTTTAACAGAGAGAACAGAAGTGAGTTTTTCTTTGTTTAATCATTAGTAACATGATAGCAGAGAGCAGATATGCATAGCATTGTGTGAACTCCCTGCTAGGTTGCAGTCCTGTCAAAGTGATGTTTGGCTTCTTTTTAAACTCAGATAAACTACCGTGCCAAACTGTGCCAGGTCCTTTGATGACTCTGCGACACAAACAAATTTGAATTTGAATATTAATCTTGAGATCTCTCAGAGAGGATGGAAATGGTAGTCTAGTGGCTTAAAATAAGAGCTCACATTATACTGTGGCATTTTACAACTAGGTCAATCTCCTCTTGCTACCAATGCAGCATGGTATTCCTAAGGAAGGGAAAAATTTCCTTAATGTACCCTAATGCACAGTGTAAGAGTAATAGCTCTGTAGGGTGAGACAATCCATGTGCATTCCCAGCAGAGCCCTTTGACCTGCAGCTCAGCCTGGAATGACAGCACAGCTGTACAATGGGACACAGCAAGTCCTATGGGTTTGAGTCACTCGACCTGATTTGGCCAGGCTTTCACCTGCAAAGTACTTAAAAAATCAGCCACAATATCACTGAGAAGAGTGGAATGGAGGTGAGTGGCACGTGTTTGGGTGTCTTCAAATGAGTTGTGTTCCGTGTCTCAAGCTCCTCTCTGGCGGTCAGCGCATGCCAGAGGAGAGAGCTCAGCCATGATGGAGCACTGCTGGGTACAGAACAGACCCCAGCAGTGCTGGCAGCTCTGACTACTGTCAATTTGGACTTTCAGAGTGCCACACCCATTTACCAGGGGAGCTCCACCCCAGCTCAGACAGCAGCTGTCTCTTGGCTGTGAAGAGGTCTGTAACAAGGACACAGATTGCACACATGCACTAGGGTGAAGTAGCCTTGCCACCTCACTAAGCTGGGAAGGGATGGGATATTTTCAGTTGCCAGATGGAAATTCTGCATCAAGGCTTGTGATTGGGGCAGTACATGGAGTCTGGCTTCTGCAGCAGCTGGACACTTGTATCATGCCAGTAGAAATTCAGTGACAGTTATTTCACATATAACTCATGAAGGACCTCCCCTTCCTATTCACTTTTCTTCTTTGTTATCACAGTCAACTTTGTAAACTTCTCCTTCTCGTCTTTTGGTAGAGAATTAAACGTATATATCAGGTTGAGACAACAGGTTGTTCAGGAGTCTTGCAGAAGACTCCAAGGAGTCTTCACTGCAGCCTTCCAGTGCCTAAAGGGGACTTACACAAAGGAGGGTGAGTGCAGATAGTGACAGGACAAGGGGGTATTTTTAAAATAGAAGAGGAGAGATTTAGGTTAGATGTTAGAAAGAAGGGTGCTGAGGCCGTGGCATAGGAAAACTGTGGCTGCCCCATCCCTGGAAGCATCCAAGACAGGTTGCATGGGGCTTGAAGCATCCTGGGATAGTGGAAGGTGTCCCTACCTGTGACAGGGGGTGGAATGAGATAAGCATTAAGGTCCATTCCAATCTAAACCATTCTGTGATTCTAAGATTCCATTATTTAATTGTAAGTTTAACTCATTATCTTTGGCTTTCCTTTCACAAAAGTCTGAGGAACTGCTACACTAGTTTTCTTTGAGTATGTGATGTCTGTACTTGTGACCTTCACTTATCTTTCTCATTCTAGAGATAAAATATGTAAAGAATATGCTGCACCTTGAACTCTCTAAACAGATAATGAAACAGTGACTGTGCAGAATGACAGGAGAGAGGAGCCCAGCCTCAGTGCAAAACTCAAACACTCACTGGTACTCTTGACTCCAATTAGAAATGCTTCTGCTTGCTGTAGGCTGGAGGGATGGTTTTGGAGATAGCGGTGACAAGGAGGGTGATGTGGAGGATGAGTGACTCTGCCCCATTAGGGAGGTGTTCTCTTTGGACTGCTGCTCATAGTTCCAGTGGGAAGGTGCCTGCTCTGATGAAGATATCTGCTTAAGCTGGCAGGTTGCAGAGGGCTGCTGAGAGAAGGGAGCCATGCCCAGGTAGTTGGGGTTGCTGATGTCTGTGGGGGTGGACCTGCTCAAGAAAATAAATATTGTTAAGGAGGCACATGCACAAATATGTTTGGAGTTTTTTGTCTCCCTGACAGCTACAAAGGAGTTAGTACCCACTGACTGCTTAGATTCAATACTACCTGCTTTTTTTTTTTTTTTCTTTTTTTTTTTTTTTGGGTCACTGTTGCTTCAGAATCAGGGAAAAAGTGGGACTCCTGTTAGTGCCTCACTCCCTTTGGTCACTGGAGAGGAAGCAGCTGGGTCAAGACAACCTCCCCCACCCCCAAAATAGTTCCTGTGGCTGTAGCAGCTGCTTCCCTTTCCAGGCTGCAGAGAGCACTCAGCTTCTGCAGCCACGTATAGGGGCTGTCATTGGTTTCTGGGCCCAGCCAGCAGCTGCCTGCAAGGAAAAGCCCCAGTGAAAAAAGGTGAAAGGACAGCCTTACTCAGACTCATGCTATGACTCTTGGAAGGGAAAAGCCAGGCAGTTTGAGAATAGGTCCCCACCCCAAGTTAAGGTGGCAAGGTTACCGTAAAATATCCTCCTTTCCCAGGCTGTCTGGAGAAGTGACTGCACTCCCCCAGTAGCGAGCGATGGCTGCTGCCTCTCTGGCCATCAGATGAGTAGATTTTGACTTTCTGTTGGAAATAGAAATGCCTTTTTTAAGAGGGTTCAGCGACTCACTCTGGCTAATGCATTCTCAGCTTTTGAAGCTTTGGGCACAGGAGCATTGACCAGTCCTGACCAGAGAGCCACAAAGCAGCTCAGTGCTCAGCACACCTGTTGATGCTGCTCTCACAGCAAGCCCAACTTTGGACATATGGTGCCAACCATTTTCCTGGAACTCACCCACTTGCCCTTTACCTGTTAGCTGGATCCCAGTCTTTGTTCAGCTCTAAATTGCTGATGTTCTTTGGTTTCTGACCAGTGATTTCATCACGTTCAATCTTGACAAAATCTGAAGGAAGGAAGGGGCACACATATCTCCAGAGTCTGTCTGCTCAAGTTTTCTGTGTTCCTGTGTTCATTAAGGCATCTCTTTTTGTCATTAAGGCATCTTTTTTTGTCTAGTTTAAAACTGTCCATCAGAGGGATGAACAGTTTTAAACTGCTGTTGCTGTTATGTTTTCAGCTACTCACTAATACATGTCATGTCTTGTTGACAGAGGAAGAAATGTATCTTGAAATACAAAGGTCATGACCCACCAAACAGCCACATACATTTTACTATGGAGGATAATTGTAAATATCAGAATTGTAAATGGCTGCTTCTGTACTCTGAATGAGTACAGAAGTAAGGGGAAAAAAGCAAAGTTTGTGATCTTCTAGCTAAGAAACTGCTCATTGAGAGCCTGACATACTCTTTGTTCCCCAGGATGATTGGAGTAAGGAGAGCTTGGCATGGAGTGTGCCATGTCACAAGTGGAAGTAAGGGATCCCCAGGCAATAAAACCAGTGCAGGTGGCAGACAGGGGGCTCTCTCAGTCTGCTGAATTTACTTGAATGATGAAAAACCCCATGGAATCCAATTGTTCTGTCTTCCTGAAAGAGTACAGGTATGCTCCTGAGACCTAACCATAGTCACACCTCCTTGCACTCAGCATCAAAAGCATTCTCTGTGACTACAGGCACTGCAGAGATAATTTTCAATTCCTTGACAGTTATCAGAAATCTTTTGAGGTGAGCATTGCAGAGATAAGATGCTCCTTACCATACAGTTTCTCTCTCTGTTTTCCTTGTGACGTTTGTAACTTGATTTCACCTTGGAAGACCCCCGTTTTCTCTCCATGGTGTGTGAGTACAGTATGGATAGGAGCTAAGGATTCTGTTGCTTCTATTCGCAAGGCAATGCAGCCTTCCCCTAAAAGACAACAGGGAGACAATGAGGCTGGGACTGAGAAAGGAAGCACTGAAATGTTTTGTGTCATCTACTACCAATGCACTGACAGGTATGTAATTACTGCTTTGGAGCACAGTAAGGAGCAGAATATCTTCTGAGAAATTAGGGGCATTTATTTCACTTCATGTGTGTGTGAATGATTTGGGCACTGAAGTTACCTGTGGGTAACCTCAGGGTTCTGAGCTTCCACTCCTGGTAAGGAAAACATGAGCCTATGTCTGCTATTGCTATTAATGGGATTTAGGCAAAGAGTGTTCTGTGGACAGGACTTCATTCTCTGGCTGGTGACAATCTGGGAGCCACAAGCACAGCCAAATACTTTTCTGTAGCCAGGAGAAATGCCTCAAGTAAGTGCAAGTGAAACAGGATTTCTATGTTCTGATTAAATGCATTTAAACATGCTGAATCCTGATTTAGTTCCTGTAAAGGAATTTCTTTTTAAACCACTGTTCTTTTGGAGCTGGTAAAGCTCACACAGGTTGTTGCTTTGAGATCATATTCCTTTAATCACAATTACTTCACAAAATATTGCCCATAGTGAATGTATATTTCTGTTGAGTTGAGTTCTAAATCATAGATGTTCAGTCTATAGAAGTTACTTCTGGTGTCTCCCACTCTTTCAGTAGTTGGAAGAACCTAAGTACCTTTTGACTCATCCAGAACTTTAGAGCTAACACTTACCATAAGATTCATCACTATCTGACGACTTAATGCTGATCAGGATATGTTGATCCAGTAGGTATTCTGGATCTGAAATAATTGGAGTCAGCTGCAAAGACAAATTAAGGTGGTCAATACAACACATAGTTGACAGGAGCACACTTCTCCCTGGGACTCAGTCCCAAATGAGGAAAACCCTGCTGGATAAACCCATGAGGGTATCATGTCACCTCCAGGATTAGTCTCTGATAATATCTGGATGTCTGTGGTAGAAGGCTGCACTCTGAGTCCCAGCACAGTAAATGGAATGCTGCAAATCTGACACTTATGGGATGAGCTGCAGTTTTCTCCTGTAGTCCAGGACTGAAAACTGCCTGAGGAGGAAGGCATCTGGACTGTGCTTACAGTCTGTTCCCAAAAATCTGCCTGGCTGTATTATTGTAGAGCCTTTCCCCAGTTTCTCAGTGTAAGGCACTCTTTCAAAGTCAGCATTTCTGGGTTATTTAGAAGGGTATTGACATGCACATTTGCTTCAAATCCAGGAGCTCCTGCAGTTCTTTCAACTCCTACCATGCCAAGAAATGAAGAACAGCTCTGATCTCAAGGACAGGACTTGTGTCTGACACTGACACTCAGAATACAACTTCTGGACACTGATGTTCTTTTTAACACAGATAAAAAGAAATGAAATCAACTTTTTTAAAATACACCAAGTTTTAGCTGACCAGGCAAAGAAACTCCAGGGCAGAGTTACTCTTTAAGATGTTTTATTTTCCATTTAAAACTAAAAAAATGGTACTGCTCAAACCGGCAAAATGTTCTCTAAAAGGATGAGAAAAAAGTCATGGTCCTGAATGGCATAATCACATCAGCAAAATTCTTCATAGACTTGGAAGTCCTTTCCTGCTTACAACATTCTCTGTTTATCCTAAGCCCATCCTGCATTCTTACAGTCCCTTTAAGTGTAAACAAGACCACAACAATGTTCCTGAAAGTAGTATTTATGAAAGTAAAAGACCTCAGGTTGCTTATAGGATGAAAATGGAAGCTTCTCTTCCATACAAAGATGGTGGTATTGTCCCAGTTTACCTTTGGAAGTGCCTCGACGAACTTTACCACAAGCTCCCCTTCATTTCCATCCTCATTTTCTCCTTCCTGGCTCTTTACAAAGCCTGCAAATGGACAAAAAAAGGAGTTTACCAGGAGAGAGACAGCAAGAACTGGGCTACAAATCCTCTTCACTATGTCTCCAAAAAGCCTACAAGTATTTTCCTACTTGGACGCAAATTTTAAAAGTATTAAGAAGCTTAAAGTCTAAGCTTTGGATGAATTTTTACACAGTAAATTTGCAAATGGTTTTGCTAGAGCATTGTTAAATGGTTTCATTTTGCAGTTAAACTTGGCACTGAGGAGATCAGTGCATACATGGACCGGAGGATAAGAACATGACAGCTCTTCCTACGCCACTCAAGATAGCATACTTTTGAAATTCTAATTTAAGATTTGTAATACACTGTTTCCATAGAAATTTATGCAAATTTTGATACAGCCAAAAAATAATCTTTTATGGAACTGTCTTTGACACAGCGCTCTGACATGCGATAATGTGATGAAGCATCCACCAAAGGCTTGCTGTCCCACTTACAAGAGCAGTTCTGTGATGGGAGATTGCTTTAAAAAACCCATAGCAAGGGCACGTAGGCTTGTGTTACATAAACAGCTGAGACTCAGCCCCACAGCATGGGCACAGGCAGTGAAATCTGTGGTGCTGCAGGGTACACAGTCCCACTTACAAAGTCACATCACTAGCATTCATTTCCCTTTCAGTTGATCCTCTGACTTATTTTTTGTTAAACCAGGTTAATTCAATTATTTAAAATTTTTTTTTGCTAGGATAATGCAGATGCTTCATTTTGAAATTACCTGATCATTTGTGGCAGGCACAATTAGAAATTTAATCAATCCTGTCTTTACTATGTAAGTATTTTCTGTGTGATAAGCAAGATATATATGTTTCCCATCAAGAAAGGAATTATCAGACTGACAAGGTGGAAAAACTGTTGGAAGGCTACATGTCTAAGCATGAATTACAGCTACCTTGGCTGTGGGGTTTGGACTGCATTGCTGATAGGATGGAATGTCTTGCAAACTACATCAAATCTTTAGGACACCCCTTTTTATGCATTGTAACAAATGATCCACATAGCTATTTTTTTCAGATCAAAGCAAGAAGAAGGAGAACTAATCCAAACATGCAGAAAACTTTGATAGAAACAATAAAGATAGGCAAACCCATACTTTCTAAGCAGCTAGAATGAAACTCAATGTAGAACTTGGTCTGGGACTTGGTCTTCAGAGTAGCATAGCAGTGCAGGAACTCTATCTCCCCTTGGGAATCTGTGTATTTGGAGTCTAGGAAAGAGGAAGAGAAAATAATGTCACTTTCAGTAGGAGATAAAGAGAGGGCATTTTTGAATGGACTCTTGGAGAATCAGCTTTTTCTCTCAGCATATACAAAGCAATGCGTTCTGTATCCAAAGTGAAGATGGCACTCATGCACTCAACCTGACTGACCGTTCTTGGAAACAAACTGTGAGGTGACTCCCACTTCAAAGGTGGCAAACACAGGACTGTGGTCACTTGTCATGATGTCAGTGGTGCAGCCTGCCAGGAGAAAGGGAAGACAGTTACTGCCCTGCTCCAGGGAGATCACTACCAAAGAAGTATTATTCAGTAATTTTCCAGAAAATATAACAGTCTCTCTGGTAACTGTCTCTAGTAAAAAGTGTTTCTCTACATAAACTCCTGTCAGTACGCATGAATGTAACTCTTCTGTCAGGATACAGAAAGATTTGGTTTGGTTAAGGGACACCATTTTACTGTACTGTTTTGTAGATGACTGTCAGTGTTAGATTCCCCCAGTACAAAAAGCCCTTACAGGCTTCCTGGTTACCTCTGCAACATGCCCTGCTAAGTATAGCTCTAACATGGCAGGAAATCACACAAGAATACACTGGTCCTGCTTCAGTGTTACAAAGCAACTCCTGGCCCAAAGGTAACAGTGGGTGACCAAGGCCTGATTGGATCTAAACACACACAGAGTTCCAGCAAACCCAGTCATTCCAGAGAGGCCAATTCAACCCCACACCTCAGCATCGTGGGCTTTGTGATCAGATCAGCCTGCTTCATCCCTGAGACACTTTCACAGCCCTGCTCCCAATCTACGCATAGGAAACCATGAACAGCATACTCAGATGCTCAGTCCTATGTATAGTTGATGACATTTCAGGAACTGGTATTTGAGTCTTTTATTAAACAGGTTTTGTGGACTTTTTCTCTTCCCTGAACTGCACTTCAGTGATGCTTCTCAGCAGGAAAGGGAACAGGCTCTTGGTACCACACAGTTCTTCTGGAATATGATTTGATACAAGAGATGTGTTTGCAGCTCCAGTCTCTGCAGACTGGACTGTGCACACAGGGTCTGTCCTGCTGGCACTCACTGTCAGGAGTTCCTGGTAGTGACTGCACAGGAAAAGTAGTGGTTGCTGCCAAGAAATTACTGATGTAAAATAATCCTGCAGCATGGTCTGAAGTTGGACAGCTGCAACTGTCCAGGTGGTGTTCTGCATATAAAAGAATAACAGAATGAATTCCCAGCCTGTAAGGTTACAGGCAGAGAGATTTTGGCTCCCCTCTGCCTCGTTTAACATCAGGTCCCTCTATGCTGAGTGCCTGGCAGTGCAGGGAGATCCTACAGACTCTGTTCTGAATCATTTCCGTTTCAGACTGGTTGCCTTGCTATCCACAATCTGTTCTCCACCCACCATAGGACTGACACACAACGTGCACCATGGGGTAGGATTTCCAGAGCACTCGATCACACCAGGATGGCAAGTTGTACTTCATCTGCAAACCAAAGGAGAAGTAATGTCAAGAAGAATGGAAAGGGCCAGTTTACAAAAGAACAGGAAATTGATTCACCCAGCACCATATATTTGTGTCAAGTCTGTTTATATTGACTCCTTTCAAAACACAAGGGCAGAAAACACAGAGATTAGTTTAGGTCCCTTTCTTCTGCAGGAGTTGCTGTCACAGCTGTGCCACATACCTCTACAGGGGAATCAGTTTTAACCTACCCCTGTAGCTTTTTGCTTGGTGTAAACATACTTCTCCCGGGTGCCTCTCTCAAAGCGGTAGGTTGGAGCAAAAGTAATCTCCTCTTCCTCTAAAACAGGGAAAGAACTTGGTTACAGCTTGGCCATTGGGAACTCCCACCTGGGCAAGAGAGTCACTGCCCTATACACCCTGCCCCAATGCTGAGGCTGGCAGAGAAAGCTGCTGGATGTAGCAGAGGAACCTGCCAGCCAGTAGAGGATCTCACCGAACTGCAGGAACACCTTTTGGTCTCTTCTCTCGAGGAGAAGCTGGTCGAAAGCCAGCAGCTCCGGATACTGCTGCTGCCTGATCTTCTGGATAATATTCTCTGCTTCCTGCCAACAGGGAAACAGCAGAGCTGCAGATGAGGCAAAACCTCTTATAAATACTCCCTTCACAGGTTAACTGGTGAGTGCTCCTGAACTGTTTCACAGAGCTGTAAGCCCCTGCCACTTCCCTGTCCTTCCCGTCACTGAAAAGCCCCAGCCTTTTTTGGGTGGCTGAACATTTGTCTATCAAAACAGGTATTGAAATGCCCACACATCCCCTACACAAGAACACACACACTCACAACCACATGCACATCGACACCGAGCTTGGTGTTTTCTCCCACATACTGAAACCTATCCAGTATTTATGAGGGCTTGCCTGAAGGCCTCTTTCAGCTATTCCAAGCTCACCAACCAGAGCAGAAAGGCAATCTCTGGATTGAGCCATTCAGGGACAGATGCTTTTCACAGTGGGAATGAAAGTCAGGAGGTTTGGGGAACCAAGGCTGCCTGAAGCAGCAAATTGTGCCAGATGCCATTCCTGGGTCCATTACTCCTTAGAGAGGGCAAAGGGGATTTCCTTACTCTCCTTCAACTGGGGCCACACTCACACCCTGGGGATCCCTTCTGACTCCCCTCTTTTTGTCATGTTGCCCTAGATTGGAAGAAGAGCACTCCTATAGCAACAGAGCGTGCTGTCCCTGCAGGGCTTCCTGCAGCGTCCCGCACCGTCGGGGGCTGTTCCACACGGTAGTTCAGGTCTCCCAGCCAGAACAGATGAGTAAAGCGATGAGTGATGTTAAATGGACTCAGTTTCTTATCTCCCAGGGTCAGGAAGCGCAGGATGTTCGTGTAGTTCTGGTTGCGTCTGTCAAGACAAGAAAACATCTGCCTGACATCCTAAACTGCCGTGTAATTTCCAAATGCCTGGGATGGCAGAGGCTGCAGCTTTACCAGGAGGGAGCTGCTCCGACTCAGAGCTACAGAGGAGCAGATCAGAAGCTGAGAATTTGCCACCCCAGCAGACAGGCCCAGGGAAAGTGCTCCTGAAGCCACTTCTGCTGCCTTCTGGGGCTGTGCTTTTCTGAGCTACATGTCCTAGAAGCCCAGCATTAGACTGTTTCCTTCAGATTTCAGCAGCAAACACATAACTAGATTTTGGCAGCTCTTCCAGGCCCTGATGAACCCTTCAATAGAAGTTAACTTCATCAGTAGGAAAGACCCTGTGAAGAAATCCCACACCATCTGTTTCCTGGACCGGGAAAGAATGACAAGGCCAAATTCTTCATTTCAAGTCCTCTTCACTTTCAAAACCACTCCTTCCAACTGCTCCAGCTCCTCCCAGTGTGGACACTGATTTCCCAGTGGTGTCAGGATCTTTGCCTTCCAGTCCTGTGCTGACCAGAACCTGCCTAATCCACAAACCCTTATTTCACAGGTGGGTATAGAGAATTAGTCACCGTGGGGATATTCCTGTTCTACATCTCCCTCCTGGTATCCTGAGGGATCTTTCTCAGCTGTGTCCCAGGGCTCACAGCACTGCCTGCAGTGAGAAGGAAGACAGTCCCCTTCAGCATGTTATTTTGGGATAGGAAAAGCCTTCCCACATTTCTCCAAAACGCTGTAGATCATGGAAGTGTTTTCCTCATGCAGTGGGTTTTCATGATAGGTCATGCAAGTGTTGTGTAAGGCTTTTACCCTTGATGGCTCTGAAATAATTTTGCCATCCATTTCTCCTGCACCCATGTGCTATGGTCACATAGCAGAAGTCCCTTGTTTAAATGCCCTTCCAGGAGACATTGAACAATTTTTTTATGGTCAAGAAAACATGTTTGTGCCTGTCTGGTGAGCCCTCCTTCCAAACATGGCCCAGAGAACTTCACCCTGGCTCAGGGTGAAATTTTTGAGAGGGGAGGATATATCTTACCTGTGTTTCTTTTCACTTCCTGAAGTCAAATGGCTGTTAACAAACCCAAAGGAAGTTCCATTAAACATGAATGACACCCCCACTGCTCCTTTATTACCTGGCAAAAGGGAAGCCAAAAATGACAAAAAATTAATCCACCTCCAGGCTGAGTCTAGCAAAGATAATAAAGCACCTAGCACATGTGAAGTAAAGTGGAGGATGGAGAAGAGAAATTCACTTAACACAGAAAAAATTAGTGCATACAGCACAGATTGTGGGAGCAAATTTTTATGGGTGCTAAAAAATTAGTTGAAGGGAGAGAAGTGCAACTTCCTTGTGAAACCCAAGAAAGAGCAATCCAATAGCCAGTCAAAAGTGTTTGCTGGGAATATAAATATATATATATGTGTGTGTGTGTGCTAAGTATACACACAAACAGATTTCCTCTATTACAGGGTGAAATATAACCAGTGCTAGTGGGATGTAACTTTAGGAGTGTCACATAAATGTTGCCCCAGGAGTGTTGTAGCAGAAGAGCTGTTCCCTGGGGGCTGAGCTGTCCCCTGCCCGTGCCTCACCCAGCGTGTTTGCGATGCCCGTCTTCACGTTGGCTGTGCAGATGTGGCTGATGCGGTTCTCGTGCTCTGGCTTGGCCAGGACAACGATCCTGATGTTCCAGAGGGTATGGATGGCTATCTGCAGGATTGGGAAGGGTAGAGGTTTTATTTCTGCAAGTACTTGCCAAGCTGCACTGTGGCTGCAGCCTTCCTGACTCCTTTGATTGCACTTCTACAGAAATTTTCTTCCTGTGCTTAGGATATGTTTTCAGTCATTTTAATCAATGCTGAAACCTTGCCATTTTCTCCTCCTTTTTTCTAGTTAATCTTTGGATTATTTTACTTGCACAAAATAGTTTCCCAATCACAGTGAGAGTTAGCTTTCCAGATATGCTTAGATTTGTTTCTTGACATCACTGAAACCCAGGAATGTCCAAAGCTGGTCTTATTAAGGTTCAAGTTTCTTTTATGAAAAAGTTTTTCTTCTCTGCCTGTGTACTGATACATCCTATGTTGAAAGTGCAATAGTCTAGGATGAGATCTAGGCTACAATTGGCTCAGAAAGTTTAACAGTCTCTTGCTTTTTGAAAGTCAAAATAACACCAGCACTTGACTTGAGTGCTCAACAATCTCCCCTTGCTCCTAGGGTGGCAGGGTCCCTGTTTTGGCCGTGGAGAGGTCACTGTCCATAGCAACAGGTCCATCCAGGGGGGCATCTTGTGGAGCCCACAGACATATTCAGTGCAGTCTCCTTCACCCAATGCAATGAAAATAAAGGGAGAACTAGGGAGGAGGTACAGGCAAAATCCCACTTATTCCCATCTCTTTTATTTGTACAACATGTACACTCTCATCTCCTGAGTTCTATTCAATAGCTGGAATAACCACTCACCACTTTGAAGCTGATACTGGTGATTTCCTGCAGAGACTGCCTTAGGGTCTCCAGCCATTCCTTCTCCCCCTGGGGATCCTCCTGGGTGCCAATCACATAGATGTCATGAGGGATGTAGTCAGCAGTGTCATCACGGGTCCTCCCCTGCCCCTTGGAGAGGAACCAGGAGGTGATCTTCTTTGGGGCTGGGGCTGCGCCTTTTATTAAAACATTAAATACCAAAGGAAGTCAGAGCACGTCCTGTCAAAACCAGGATGACGATAACACACAGGGACAGAAATTACAGGCTTCATATCTCACATCACTTTTGTATCAGCCAGGGCACACTATTCTAAGACGACAATGATGTTACCCCCACCTGAGGCACTGAGAAATAAGTGATTCTGCTTTCACCACCTTCCTCTTGTTGGTCAGTTTTCCAAGGCCTAGGCTAGCCAGGAGTAAAGGCAGGGACCTATACTCCTCCTGGCCTACCACTGCCTTGACCTTATTCCTTAAGGATGCTCAAACACAGACAGCTCAGCTCACAGCAGATGAACCAGGCTTCTGTCCAAAATGGGAGAAAAAACCCCTATATTCCACTGTCCTCAACCACACCTTGTCCCCTTCTCTGTACCACAGACACTCAGATGTCTTCCCACACTGGACATGAACTGTGCCTTGTCAAATGACAGCAGCTGATGTGCAGCTTTGTCACAGCATAGGTGGCAGTTGAGACAGCCATGATACACAGAGTATCACCATACAAATTCAGAAATCTTCAGTCCTTACAGACTAACACCACATCACTTCAGAAGGCTGCAAGCATCTGCCCTTCTTGCTCTTTAGCCCAAACTTTTATCCCCTCCCGTTGATGCCCCGCCCCTGTGTGCCCTCTGTTCCCTTTGGTGGTTGGTCAGTGCCCCTGGACACTCCATGGCTCATTGCTGTCAGTGCTGCTCAGCTGCTGCTCACAGCTGTGCCCACTGGGGATGAGGCTCAGCCCCACTCCCAATTGCTCCTGTCCTTTCTGCAAGGTGGGCAATGCTGTGCACTTCTGCACCAGCTTTGTGCCAGCCACAATTCCCTGTCACTTGAGCAGTCCTTCAGAACCCAACACAGAGAGTCTGGAGCTCATAGTGCCCAGCTGAGCACACCTTTAGGCAGTGTCTGAAGGAGTGCCCATGACAGAAGGGTGCCCATACCCATATTCCAGGTGCCAATGAAAATGGTGATCATATCAGGCTCTGGTTGTTCCGAGTGCTTATTCTTCATCTGCTGCAAAAGCTGGCAGAACCCTTCTCTCTTCTAGACAGGGAAGAGCAGAGAAAATTAATGAGATACTTAACTCCTCTGACATGACCTCTTGAAAAACCTGCTGAACCAGGAAATTCCCAGCACACTTGAAGAGCAGATTAGCTCTGGACTGTCCTGAAACCTTCCAGGAGACTGCCTTTCCTGTGGGGCTTTTTTAGGCATTTAGCTTGAGCACTGCTATAACAAATGCTGAACTGGTCAGAAAAAAATCTTTTCACAGTGGCCATCTTGACTTCTTGCTTCTCCCCATTGCTTGCTCTGTCCTCCTGCCTCAGTAACAGCACTTAGGTGTCTGAGACCCTTTATAAGACAGTATACTTGCTCATTGTCTGGATGTTTCAAGAACAAAGAAGAAATTTATTTTTTACAAAGGCAACTACTGTCCTTCAACAGTTCCATTTCTACCAAGGAAATGCCCCATGTTCCACTCCCACCTGCTCCAGGCTGGCAGGAAAGAAACACCATGTACATACCTTGGAATCAGAAAAAATATATTCCTTCCGCTGTGTTTTTTCTTTTTCTGTTTCCACAACAATAACCAGCTTGTTTGGAACCTTCTGGGACTTGATGAGCTGCAAGACTGAACATAGGCTGGGCGTCACAAGCTGCAGTCACTGAAATAAGGGTCCCACCAAAATGAGCAGAACTCTGCTGAAAGGATTGGGATTTCCATGGTCTTTTCTGTCTGTGCAGTTTGCCTTGCAGACCTGCATTTTAAAGTTGCTTAACCCTGTTCCCAATTGAAACAGGTTTGGACTCCAAGTGAAGAGGACCCTCAAAACTCTTCTGCTTGGAGATCTTTTCCATCCTGAGCCTGGCAGTGTGAAATAAAGCCTTAACTTTGTGCAGGCAATCCCCCTGTATCCTTAGCCAGCCTACATGTGTTCCTTCCCCATCTGTGAAAGAGGATGTAAAACTTCATTTGATGGTAAAGGTGATTCCTCCCATCTAAAATAGCAGCTAATTATTATGAACACCAGGTGGAGAAAGCCATGCATGAAAGCTCATCGTTTCAATTACTGCCAGCAACAGGTTGATTTTCTAGCAGGAAAGAGCCCAAGGGTATAATCTACTCTCTCACAAATCTCTTTATCTCAGCTTCAGTGAGCTGCCTGTTCAGAAAGAAAACAGAAAAAAAGGAAGTTGCTTGAATCAGGCAATCACAGACCAAACTGGTGTTGCTCGTGATGAGAGATACCAATCTACATACAAAAAAATCAAGGGAAAAATGTTACTGAAACTGAATGTCTGGCTTTTTACCATCAAAAAATCATCACAGAAGTCAGCATGTTCCTGCAGAATGCTGGGGTTTTTTTTCAAGTGGCATTGTTTTTCAGAACAAAAATGGTTCTATTGCAACCAGCTCTATGGGGAATCTTCTACCAAAACCTGCTCCCTTGCAGTGCTGATTCCAGTGTCTTCATTTAGACCTGGAGACTAGGTCTAAAACAATCTGTGAAAGCTGGTTATCCCAGCACAGATAATCTGTGTCTTGCTGACTGGTCCTCATGCATCACCCAGGACCCAGCAGAATTCCCAGAGTCTAGCTCAGAATTTGTGACATTAAGCTGACATCTTACTTTTCTTGTGGGTATAAAATTTGTCTTCTGGACCATCCTTAGATCTCTTGATAATCAGTTTTCCCATTTCCACATCCACTTTGAGTTGCATTTTTGAGAAAATTCCTAGGGAGTCAGTTTTCACCTAGTGGAATACAGAGAGGTTTTCCATGAGGGACCTTCTACACTTCAGGCACATGTATTACAAATGCAGCACTTCCCTCCATTCCTGGACACATATCATTAAGCCAGTCTCACCAGACATCTCAGGCATTTTCATGGTGCCAAACAGCACCCAGGAATAGCTGTTATCTGTGTGGCAGCACAGCAAACTTCCCAGGAGTTGAGATACTGACATAAATCTGCATTACTGTCCTTCCACCTTATGATCAGCATTGTTAAAGGAGTAAATTTACCTCAAAAGTGACAGGGGGGATAAGGGAGCGACGGTGTGTTGAATCAGGACCTTCAATCAACAGTGTTTTCACCTGTAAAATAATTACGTGTAATTTATTGCATTTGGTGATTCTGCACTACACTGAGAGTAATAAAATCAGAACAAAGAAATCTTACTGTGGCAGAGCACTGCACTTATGATGAACAAGAAACAAACTAGAGGCAAAGGAGGACAAGAAGATGATATAAAATAGCTTGAAAACTCTACCTTTTCTTCAATAGATGACAGCAAAGAAATCAGCTGGTTGAGTTTCAATACAATATTGACTGGACTTGCTTCACCAAGCATCTGAAACCGCAGCACAGGAACAAAAAGAGAGAGGGAGATGGGTGATTACCAGAGCACAGCCTGGAGTGCAGAGCCCGGGAACACCTCACACAGACCAAGGAGCAGCACTTGTACCTTTGCCACTCTGATCTACAGCAGGCATCACAAAAGCATGGAACATGCAGAAGTGTGGGAGGCTGGAAGGACAAATCTGCAAACCTGTTCCTTAGGGTCAAGGCAGCTGGCCATGCATGGGAGTCAGCTTGCTGCTGGGGGCAAGCTCACATCACCAGGCCTGGGGCTCAGCTTACAGAAGTCCTGGACTTTTGGGTTTCTGTCAGGGAGAGGAAACTCATGGGGACTTACGTGGGCTTGGGAAAAGGAAGGATGTGGCAGTGGAACATCCTGGAGTGAGCTTTATGGAAAAAGAAGTGTTCAGTGCCAGCCCACATTCTGAGGGAGGACAGGGAAGTAGGAGTCCTCAGGCAGTTGGTGGCACTTTCCTCTAGGACAGGAAGGGGGAGCAGGTGGAGAGGGCTATGGAATAAGTGACACTGTGAGACAGAACTCACTGGGTGCCCTCTGCACTGCAGCAGAATGAGGCTAAAGAGAATAGAAGTGGCGTGTGCCCAGCTGTACCCCACTGGCCATGGCTGCACACCAGAGCCATCCTGCCCTCCTGACAGCCACCCACACACCTGTCCTGCTCTTCCCACCTCCCAGCCCCCTTACCTGGGAGCGCTGGTGGGCACCAGGATGCAGCTGCTGCTCAAACACCTTCTGGATGGACTCCAGAGATGGGAGAGTCCTCGAGGCCTCACTGGGAACACAGACACAGCACAGGTCTGAGGCTGTGGCCGGCTCCCTGGCTCTGTTCACACTCAAAGTCACACAGACAAGATGACAGGCACACATTCACACTGGGCACATGCCCACTGGGACCTGCCCTCGCTATGTGCCCCCTGAGCTGTGGGATGCATGACGGGAGCAAATCCCAGTGCTTGGTGACATGGTCAAGAGGGCAGTGTGAGCCACACAGCTGACTTTGCCTTGCAAAGCTGGAACATGGCCATTCTGGCTGCTCCTTGGGTTTTGCTTTGAAGGTTCTAACTTCCTAAATCTCCCCAGATAAAAACTGGGTAAAACCTGAAGAGCTGGTGTACAAGCAGCATCAACCCAACAATGCCAGCTCATAGATCCAAATGCACTCAAATGCCTCAGAGCCCAGCACAGTCTGGTGCCTCTGAATGCTGCAGCTGTGGGAGCAGCTCAGTTCTTACAGGGCCTGTGCAGCTGCTGAGGACAGTGCTGGGGACTCCATATGAAGAGGAAACTAATTCACAGATATTTCATCTCACATGACAAAGAGAGGCCAGGCCCAGCAAGGGGGTGGAAGAGGCAGCCCTTGATCTCCTGAGCAGAATCATTTACAGGTAACAATGACATTCCTCCAGTGCTTCCCAATGAGATTCCACATGATGCTCATTTGTTGAAACTCTGCTGTGTGAATTTGGCACAGAAGCTGCATGCTGATAATGACAAGACTTACTCCAACAAGAGCAGCCAGGGAGCACAGGTCAAAAGGAAGGTGATGGTGGTCAGCAGCACTAGGATGCTTATACTATGTATAGTCAACTGTGGATATTAATGATTTCCCTCAATTTCCTAAGTCTGAATGGACTGGATCTTATTCCATCTTTGTTAGGGAAAGTGCTCCAAAGCAAAAGCATGCCTGCCTGAAGATATTTCTCTAGATGCTGAACCAAGGATGACTAATTGCCTAAATTAAACATTCATGTTTGACATTTCAGTCTAAAAGACTTGCTGTGGGACACACAGGAGTACAAGGCACATGTAGGAATCTGGTTCTGCTAATTTTATTCTTCCAATGCCACTATTCAGCTCTGGATCACCTGGGGCCAGTGTCACTGCAAACAGTTCTGGCCCCAAACCCAAGAGTCCCATTGATTTCTTCAGCCATGGAGTCAGACCCCAGGAGGCTGCAAGCAGTTGCAGGAACACTGGGACAAAGAAGAGTGAAAGGATATTTACTGTGATGTGCAGGCCATCTCATGAAAACACAGCAACACCTGTTTGAAGAAACTCAGGAGTTATTTCCCATGGAAAAACTGCCCTCTCTACACAGTGCAACATGTAGGCTCTGTGTGAGGAGGAGGAGGAACAGCTCCTGTGGGCATTCAAGCCCACTAAAACCACAGGGTGGTTTTAATTACATTTTAAACTTCTTTTGTTTTCTTCTCTTGACAGTATAAATACCTTTAGTGATCTTCATTGAAGTGTCAGAAACCTGTGTGTCCACATGCAATGGAAAGTCACCAGAAATACTACACAAAAACCAGAAATACTACACAAAATCTGGAAATGTTAAAGATGTCCTGGCAGTTGAGGGAATTATAGCCTTACTGCATCTCCTTTCTTTCATTTCCCCACATGCATTTATGAGGAATAGGGTTGTGAAACCCAGATAAACTTAAGTAGAATAAGAAGTTGGAAATGGGAGAAACCAAACATGATTACAACAGCAGCACCAGAGGTATTTTAGTAACACAAGACTCTCACTTGTGATTTCATTTGATTTGAACTTCCACTGTTCAGGTTTATTCTTATCTGGCCACCTGGGTCTCCCCTCCCTTGCGTGTAGAGAAGCAAAACGCTCAGGCAGGGTGCAGAAGGGCAGCTCTTGGAACAATCTGTCCTCAGTCCTCACAGGGGCTTGTCGGTGGGCAGCTGGCTTCTAGGAGAACAGGATCAGGCCAGCAGCACAACCAGCCTCACCTCTGCATACACCAGAGAGCAGGGTATGGCAAGCCAGGGAGAGAAGTGTGGAGATAAGAGCCCTCTGCTACTGAGTGCTCCAAAAGCTCTGCACAAGATTGGGCTGCTCTCTTTGCTTACAATCAGCAAGGGGGAAATAACATCCTTCCACCAGAGAAGGAAGGAGGTCTGCAATGTTCTAGCACCCTGTCAGAGTTTTTCTATTTGTGACATGGAAGGTCTAAAAACAGGAAAAGTAAAATTTGTAGAGTCAAGAGTCTAGGCTTTTTCATTTTTTCATTTCAGCTGGCCTTCACCAACATCAGTGGAATCACTCCAAGTTCACAGTGCACTAGTGGGAAGGAAAATCAGTGTTTAAAATCTACTTATACACTAATTTGTGCTTGTTTCCATAAATGGCTTGTGCTTGACAATCCTGTGGGTGTCATTTATGCATTACCAAATTATGCAGTTAATCGGTTAGTGCATTTTTTGTTTCGTATCTTTCTAAACAAAGTATAAAATTCAATACTCTGCTGTCTGAAACCACCTAGAAGAAAACTTGATTGTCAGAGCTGTCTCTTCTATGTAGATTTCATATCTTTGGACCATAATCACAGGTCACAACATCTAAATATACTGGTTTTGAGGGCAAGGCAATTTCCTATGCCAGAAATGAGGGTTCTGAATGCTTGCATGCGGAACCTTTGTTAGACTACAGTGTTATTGCATTACACTCTGAAAACCAGCTTCTAGTTACCTGAAGAGTCCTTTGCAAAGAGCTGTAAGTAATTTCTTCAGCTGAGGAAGATTGCTTGAGCCAGTCTGCACCATCTCAAAGTCACTGATGATGTGAACTCGCAGGTAATCCTGGATGAGTTTCAGATGCTCGTCAGAGACACTGTGTAGTAAACAGACAGGTCAAAAGCCAGCTCTTCTCTCTACTCCCAAATATCAAACAGCTTTCTTATTTTTCTCAAATTCCAACTGTTTAGCCACATGGCTAATAAACCAATTTATCTCAGATATTACTCATCCTTTATATTAGAAACCTATACCTCAGTGGAGAAAGTGTATGGGTGATTCTAATAATTCAGAAATGTATTTTTCCTAAACAACAGCTGGACTGCATTGACAGCAGTCAATGCACTGTTGACCTGATTCTGTTCTTTATTTGATATACTATCTTTATTATAGTATAAATGAGGTAATTTTGTTGAATCAAACAGATCCTCAGCTGTTCCAAAGACAGAGGCCCAGCAAGCACAGCCCTGGGCTGAAGGCTGGCTCAGCAGCCGTGTCACTCACCCTTCCTTACCTGCTGGTGTCCTGGTACTGCAGTCGCTGGAGTAGTGTCTCAGAAAGGGACAGTTTATTCACGTCTGCCACCCGTGGGTTTTCGGGGAGAGAAGAGGCCTCCTTTGTCTCACTGCTCGGCAGTGCCATCAGGATGTTGCGTGGGGGCAGGACAGGAGGTGTGGGTACCAGGTCTGGCAAGAAGGAAAGGAGAGGCACGGTCATTCAAGCACAGAAATTAGATCTCTTGTCCCTCACCCCAGGCAGGTCAGAGATGAGCCCACCCTGCAGGGGCAGTCTTTGCAGAAGCCATCTCTTCTGACAGGTCTGCGGAGGGTGTCAGAGCTGGGAAGCTCAGGGCTCAGCACTGGCCCAGCTGTGTTTCCAGGGATGGCAGGGGTGTGAGAGCAGCGGGATGAAGTGTCAGGCTCAAACCTCAGTGCAGGCAGCACATGCCTCTGCCTCTGTCCCTGCCTGCAGTGAACCCCAGCCAGTTCTGACTCTCCCGTCTGCACAGCAGCTGTGAAGGTTAATTTGTTAAATTGAATATAATGCTTAGAGAACATGGCTCACCCATGTCACTCCCATTATCATGGGGATCTGCTACTGAGGCAGAATGGATGGAGGGACATGATGGAAGGAGTACCAGAAACTGCTAATGGAAAGAAGTTAATGGCAAAAGTAAGCAGAGATGGAGGAAATAGATCCCGTGACCCAGTGCACAGGGGCTGAATATCCAGCCTTGTCTTGTGGACATTGAGTTGGAAGGAAAAAGGATTTTCCTGCTGCTCATTATATCTCCCTCTCCTGGGAGAAGAGTAGGTTCATCTCCACTGATCCCAACCATGGTTACCTTTCTTTTCATACCAATTGCTCCAACAGTTTGTTACACATGTTGTATTGTAGCTGGTTGAGTTGTGAGGTTTTGTTTGGTTATTTCCTAATGGTGGAATTTGCATTACAAAAAGACCCCCAGGACTGACCCACTGCTTCTGGGCTGCTGCTGTGATTCAGAGCCACCACAGCACTGAGCCATGGGTGGTTAATCTCCTGGGTGCTCATCTTCTACCTCTGCAGTTTCTCATCTAAGATCATCAGACATCTGTAGGCCTGACATGGCTCCACCATGATGGCACAAAGTGCCTTAACAAAACTAAATTCTGTACGTGAGCAGCCCAGACCCAGTGCTAATCTCTTTTCATCTGAAGGCTCTTAGTCTTGGATAGAACTTCATTCCCTGCTGCTTGCCTCTCTCTGTATTATTTTTGCTGTAGTTCCCTCCCTGGCCCTGGGAGCTGGAGACTCAGTACAACTGGCCAAAAGCCAGGAATATCTTTCCTGAGCAGCTTTGCAAAATTTTGTTCTATTTTTTCCAGAAAATTGCCAAACCAAAATCTTCCAGCTCCTGTTAGATACATAGTGGATTCCATCAAAGGGTTACACAGCCTCTGGGTTGCACGGGCACATCAGTCTGCCCTAGTTCACAGGGCCTGTCTGCCTGTCCCAGGGATTGTGTCCTTCAGACAAGTTTGATTGCAGTGCTTATCATTTCCAGACAGACATCACACAGGACAGGAAGGATGGCTCTGTGGACATGACCTTCCTGTAGGAGAACTATGACATATCCAAGGGGTGATCCAGGAAAAATCCAAGGAATTATCTGCGACCAGTGAGTGTCAGAAACACACAGTGGTATTTGATATAAAATAGTTGGGATGATGCCAATCACACCTCTTCATCATACACCTGCCTCTGTACATGGAGTTAGACTGTCTGCCACTGCCAGAGCACTGCCTTCTGCTTTGGACTGTTGAAAATGTCCCCTAGAGCAGAGCAGCTGAGTGGTTTCAGAGGCCCCTCAGCAGCTGCAGGAGCATGGCACAGCAGAGAAATGTGCTTCAAGCCCCAGGGGAGCATCTCTCTTTTGAGAGAGGCCCTAAAGATGCAGGACAAGGAAAGGGTGCAGAGGTTTGGGAGATGGCTGGACATAAACAATTGGGGTCCAGATAAGGACATCAGATTAACCACCCCCACACGAGATGCAGTAGACTTCCACAGAGGGTCTCAGTGTATTCCCTCAGGTGAGCTAAACCGATGCTCCAGGTGCTGTACCACAGGAGACATGAGGGTTCACTGCCACAGGGCCTTGCCAGCTCAGGCCTCTCTATGTATGCTCTATTTTATGGCACAACATGTTCTAATCTCCTGCCTGCACTGCTTATCTCCAGTCAAGAGGTATGAGTCAAGGGTCTGCATCACCAAGTCACATCATGGGTTTCTTACCAGTGTCCTCCTCCAGTTCATCAGCAGCCTCCTCCTCTTCCCGCGGCACTGGATATTTGAGGTGCCATACCAGGCCCATGTTCTCCTTCTTGTAATACTCTATCAGTTCCTCCAGGTTCTGAAAATACTTCACAGGAACACCTTCTGATGCCTGAAACAAAACACAGAGGCAGTCATGGCACGGGATTTCCTACCACACAAACACTGCCCTTTGCAGAAGGAAAAACAAAGCCATAGAGAGAGAAAAAAGCCACTGCTGCTGCCCAGAAGAGAACTTGTCCTGGTCTTGCTGCCCATCTGACCACAGGCTCTATGCAGAACAAACACATAACACATTCCAGCCAGAGTCAGCACAGACACCAACCTCAAAGACTCACTGAAGCCAAATAGAAGAGCTCTCTCACTGGGTTCAGGGTGATTGGGTCCACAGCAAAGGAAGATGTTAAAACCAAATAATTCTCCTGGATTAATCTTCATATTCTCTCCTTTACTGAGCTCAAAGCCCCTAGACTGTGTTGTATTTTCTGGTATCCAGGAAGATTTTTTTGTGAAATTGCAAGGTAAACATGGCTAAATCCAGACATTAGAATCCCTTCCAGGATTCAAAGGCTCAGAACTGGGTTCAAATGAAACAAGGTGCCACCCACACAGAAATGCTGGGATGAAGCTTTAGAGAGTGGCAAGGACTGCAAACACACATGGCATGACACTGTGTGTGCCAGCTGAATTCTGTGACCAAGCCTGTCTCAAGCACACCCTGGCCATTAATCTCAGCAAATGGTTATCCACGGAGGCCAGACAGAGGAATAAGGTTTTAGAGGTGTTCAGAGCCAAAGCTTCAGCATAATTATATCCACACTGGCATAGTGACTCTGCCAGCAGGAACAGCTGCTATCCCTGCAGCTCTGCCCCCTTCTTCAACCACAGACCCTACCAAGACAGACACAGTCTCTCATGGCTCAGTACAGACCTTCTGACCAAGGGAAAGGACCCTGCATCACCTTCCAAACTGCCCTGAAGTGCCATCCAATCCCAAGGCTACAGCAACACACAGCCAGAGCTCTGATCCCTCTCTTTGGGGCACCCTCATCCTGGCAGGGTGCTCCTTCTGGACAAAAGGTTTCCCCACAGAAACCAAACCCTGTCTAAATCTGCCATAAAAGATCAAGAAGTGGGGGCAGAATGGTAGAAAGCAGTTTTTTTCCATCCCCACAGGGCTGTTGTTCTTGACTTAAAAGATCAACACTGGGAACTGCTCACAACTGGGCAATCTGAAGGAAGACCTGATCACCCCAATGGCAGGCTTGGCTGGCACTGTTTTGCATGCATAAAACTAGATTTTGCATAGGAAACGTGGTTAATTAGTAAGGAATTAAAGCTGTGACTCCAATTTGACATAACGTGTTACACAGACATTCTGCCTCTGACTAACAGGCAGGGTACTCAAATTTATTTTGGGACTGCAATGACTGCTGGTAAAAAAGCAACACATACAAAGTTTCAATACATGTTTGAACAAGCTTATTTACTTGCCATTCATCTTTGCTCAGTTTCTTATTCTCTGTGAACTTTTTTGTTTGAAAGGCAAACGTAGAAAATCCAAGAAATTAAACAGGCAAGATGTGGGCAAAAACCACAGCAGAAAATGTCTTCAGTGAGTTCTAGCACCAACAAGATTTCTTTTTAACTTTTCCTAAAGAATAAAATCTCAGGCCAGAAATTGGGACAGTGCTTTCAATAGTGAACTGCATTTGAAGTCATCAGTGCCCTCAGGCCTGCCATTAAAAATACCTTTCATTTTTAGCTACTCCTGAATGTCTTTAGAGGCTCAGCAAGGCACATTTTCACAACAGACATGGGTGATGTTTTTGAGAGCTCTGCCTGTAAACCTCCTTTTCTGTCTTTCACATAACTGCTTCTGCATTTAACAAGATTTATTATTCTTATACACTGGAAAATATCATGTTCAGCATGAAGGCAATGCTTGGGCAAACACTAGATTATATTTTTGTGAGGCCAGAGATGTTGAAACAAATCATTGGTTAAAACGTCTCACGATCCTACCCAGCATAGGCCAAATCTTGCTCTTCTAGAGCAGCACAGACTCTGCACATTCAGAAAGACTTCTCATTTACACCAATTAATGCAAATAGTGTCTGGTCCTCCCAGACTCTTCTGCTTCTTGGTGCCAAGTGTGAAGGTTGGGAATCAGGGAAAACCACCAAGAAAAAACAGCTCTAATCCGTAGTATGAAAGGATCCTGAAGTCACAGTACTGCACTGGAACTGACCTGGAATAGTTCAACCAGACTTCCATGCTTTTCTGTTCATCTTCCAAGCAGTACCTTCTTCTCTGAAATCCTCATTTTTGTGATTATTCATTGTCCAGCACCCCCCAGCAGCCCAGAGGGCACTGTTAGCAGCTCTGGTGGCAGGGTGGCAGCCAGCCCATGGCAGTGTTACCACACTTCACCCTCTGGATTACCCTGCCTGGGCTGCTTTCTGCCCACCTGTGCAGCCCCCACAGATGGCTTGAGCTCATGAGGAACAGAGCTAGCGGTGCCTTGCTTTGCCCTAAGCTACACCAAAGGGCACCTGGGAAAAGGCTTCAGCCCCATCAGAGCACACACAGAGGCCTTAAAACACGACAAAGAAAAACAGAGTCAGGGTTTGCCATGTGCATCCCTGTAGGAGAAAAGCTTTGCTGTCAGTGCTCTCTCACCTCTGGAATCACTGCAGCCTACTCCACTCCTCCTCTTTCCAAACCCCTCCTTCACTTTCCTTTGCTACTTCCCCACCTTCCTGCTTCCCCTGATCTCCCCTGACTGTGCCTGAAGGCCCATGTCCTGCTACTGCACAGCAACCCTGCCACCCTCAGTGCCCAAACAGTGTCTTCTCAGCCTTGTTCTGCCCCTCAGGCTCCTGCTCTCCCAGGGTGTCTGCAGGAAGACAGACAGCCATGAGCAGCGCTTTTAAGGCCTAACAGAGTCTTGATAGAAGTGGTAGAAAAGGCTGAATTAGCACTTTTTGCTGCCAAGGATAGTTCAGTCTCTAAAACCGTCCTGGTGTCTGTAGTAAGCAGAAGGAGCATTTTGCAACAGGCCTCCTTCCTCTAACTCACTGCACAGCCCAAAGCCCGTGTTCCAGCTCAAATTCCCCGGCATGGTCAGCCCTAGCTCTCGTGCAGCCTGGCTGGATGCACACATGAGCAGAGAGGCCCTGCTGTCACCCACCCCTTCTACTCTGGTAACTGTGCCCACTGCACCCAGCCACCTTTCTTGATGAAGCCCCCCTTCCCCACCCTCAAGGGTAAGTGGAATTTGTGGCCATGTCAAGAATCTGGGCTTTGCATGCATCTGAATCCAGATGCTCATTCCCAAAGAGAAGCAGCCTCCATTCCAGCAGTGCCAGCTCCTCTGACAACCCACATTCTCCAAACCCAGTCAGGAGGAAAAGGAAAAACTCCCCATGGCACACAGTAAAATAAAGGACAGCATTTCATATTTTAAGACAGAATTCAGCAAAGAACTGAACATGTGGCCTGAGCAGCTGCACAGAGATAGGTGAAAGTTGAAATATGAAAATGGGGAACCAGCAGGGTCAGGAGCTCCAACCAGCCACGGCCCAGCACAGAGGGAAGGATGGGCAGCCTCAAACCTGCTCAGCACACATTAATGGTGGGGGTGCTTGAGGGTCCTTCCCCACACCACAAAAGGCAGTGGCACCACCTTGCTACACATCACCTCAGCTATCATGAAAGTCTGAAAGGAAAATCATTTGATTATTCTCATTCATTTACTTTTGTGTTATAATTGTTATTATTTGCAAGGACCTCAACAGAGGAAGTGTACGGGAAGGGCTGCACCCCTTCAACACACAGCTGTGCCCAGCTGCCCTCTCTGCCTTTTGCCTGCACTATGAAACAAGCTCCTCCCAGTTCAAACACCCCCCCAAACATCCCCACTCCCCACACAAGAGAGCAGGGCACCCTGCTTTGTGCTGCCTCCCTCTGCACAGAGGCACAGCAAACACTGTACATTGTTTGAAATGGGACAGAAAACAGTAAAAGCAAGATTTTGTTGCATTGGCTTCTCCCCTTGGGGAGGGGATGAGAACAAAGCCTATGTGACAAACAAGAGTTGGCTCTGATGTTGTTTGGCACACAAGTGCAAAGTACTCAGACACTGCCTGTGCTGCCTGAGCCCCTCCAAATCCAACAGCTCATTATTTTGCTTCCAGTCACAGAGCAAGAGGACCGTGACTGAGGCTGTGGTGTAACTCCAGCCAGTGCTGCCTGGGACTGCAGGGATGATGCCTGAGCAGCATCAGTTGAACTAGTTCAAAGTCTGGTTCAGTAATGTTGCTGTGAGTGCACAGGTTGTTGGATGACCCCCCTGAGGGCTGGTCTCTGCCAGCAAGTGAGGAAAGCAGCCCAAATCTGGGACATCTGCTAGGACATCTGCTTTCTTCCCACTTGAACTTGTGGCAAAGGTTTATAGGTGGGGAAGAAAAAGTGGTGGTGGATAATGAAGAACGGGTATTGAGTCAGGTTGTAGATGGTTGTGGAGCACATTACCAAAAACTGGATTGATGGTAAACTGTTAATAAACATCCTCCAAACAACTGCACTGGATGGCAGGAGCGAGGCAAAATGCAGCCTAAACTTTACACAAGCTTGTTCTGGATTTTGAGACAGGAAGCAGAGGCAGAACAGGGCACTGTGAACAAACCAAAGCAGGATGGGGCAGCACAGAGCAAGCTGGAGCCACCCCAGCAGAGCCAACAATGAAATCCACTTCCCGCCCCCCTGCCTGCATTTATTAAGTAACTGTTTCCTCAGGGTTATCACAGGATAGATCTTGTTTTAATTGCACAGTGAATTGTTTCAAGTCATTATAAACGGAGATGGCAAGTGTCATCTCCATGGCAACACACCACATCCCCAGAAACGTGCTCACAGGGCTCATGGGACACCAGAGAGGTGTGGAAGGCAGGCTCTCCTTCCGTGGGGATTCTTCCATCATCCCCGCTGATACCTCAGCTTTGTGCTGATGGCAGCCACAACATAGGGAAAGAAAACACCTAGTGAATGTATGCAGTTTAGGGAACAGCCCACAAAACAGCAGAGCTGTACACAGGAATCTGGAGAACA